ACTATCGGCTAGCTGCCTGTCCCCTAAACACCACTGTAAAAAAACGCGGTCTCTGTAGACACCACAGGCTCCACAAACGGCTACAAAAACAATCATGTCTCACTCGGATGTTCCAGCAATCACTGGCAAGGAGTATTTGAGGTGGGTCTGGGGGGTTAGTGCGCGTGCACTAGGGCTGGGGTAAACGATTATTAGCTAAACGATTAGTTGGGCGATTATTTTATCGATTAGTCGACTAATCTAATGACTAATTGGACGACTAATATAAAGAATATTTTTTCTGCTGCTCAATTAATAAAAAAACAATATCTCAAATAAATACTAGCATACTGAATCAAGATTACTATCGCTGGCTAACGTTAGTCTAATGTTATGTATTTGAACGCCATCATAACTCTACAACCGCCAAAACCGTGTTATTAAAATATTTTTTACAAACATTTTTATCATAGAGAATGTTTTAAATATTAATATCAGCTGAGGAGGGAAACGCAGTCGGAGGCGGAGTTCACCTACTGATCAGAGCGCGTGCTGACACGGAGTAAAGCCTTGTTTATACTCCACACGTCCGCACGAGCGCGAATGTGCGCACGGCAAAAATGACCCGTTGGGTGCGCAAGACAGGAAGACTGTGCTGGCTGTGTGTACGCCTTTTTTTTCTGCCCGAGCTTGTACGTCTCACCCCAGACAGCAAACTGACATTGAATCAACGTGGAAACGACGTCTCTCATGACATTGAAACAACGTTGATTTTGCTCATCGAATTAACGTTGAACCAACGTCAGACGCGGCATTCTTCAAAGCTAAATGAAAATCGAAAATTGGTTTGCTTTCATAACGTTGAAACAACGCGTTGATTTCAAGTTGATTTTCCGTTAGTTTTGAAAGAATGACGCGTCTGACGTTGGTTCAACGTTAATTCGATGAGCAAAACAATGTCAGATCAACGTTGTTTCGATGTCATATTTCCACGTTGATTCAATGTCAGTTTGCTATCTGGGACCACACCGCACCCAGTTTGCGCGTCTAAATTGCGAAGTTTTTTTTCTTAAGGTTTGTTTACTGTGTGATTCATTTAATGGATAGCACATTCACTTCTAGTTGTTTTCGTCCTCTATTCTGCAATGTTTCGGTCTCCCACGTGTGTGTGGCAAGCTGTACCGCCGGGAACATGCAAAAAAGAAATAAATAAAGAAGCGTCGACGCAAAAATATGACGTCGACGAAATTTTGACGTCAAATCATCGACGCGCCGCTACAGCACTAGTGTGCACATGAAGGGGGTGTGTGTGTGAAGAGAGATAGAAGCGTCAGAGGGAAGTTTGAAAAATGGCCGACACACGACCAAAGAGACGTCGTTCTGAGGAACAAATTAAAAAGAAGGAGGAGTCGGATAAAGAACGTGCGAAGTTCCGAATTTACATCGGTAGCAAAGCTTTTGAACTCCGGCGGCAGAAGGGCTTCAGTCCGACGTCAGGTTGCTCTGTTTTTGCTGGACAGTGGTGGGTAACGTTAAATTGTTTTTTTCTTCTAAATTGACGCTTTATGTTCGCCAAAACCCACACAAGGATATAATTAGCTATAAAATACACGTTCACAATTATTTCAGGAAGGACGGAAGGGAGGGGGAGGAGATGAGATGCGGAGGAGGGCGAGGGTCAAGCTCCGATTTGTTTGAAAATATTCGAACGTCAACACCCAGGATCGCTTAGACAACCTTTAACACACAGGTTTAACACAGGTACACTATGCGGCTCACACATGACTTGACTTCAGAAGTTCACCTCGAGTTTGAAGGCCAGGCCGACGAAGGTTGAGTGTCATCTCTTGTTGGATCCATCAGAATCTTTGAGCCGTCTTGAGCATCCCTGTAAACGACACACACACATTAACTGACCTGTAACTCTGTGTAACGGTGTGTTTCAGTGAGCTGCAGCTCCAGCACTCACTCCTGATTGAGGATGGCGTAGTTGCTGACTTCAGTGGGGTTGGGCAGATACTCCAGCACAGCGTCTAACAGGGGTTGAACTCCTTTGTTCTTCAGCGCACTTCCCACTAGCACAGGGGTGAACACACGCTTGATCGTCGCCCTCCGCACGGCCGCCTGAAACATCAGCATACACACACTTTCAGACCCCGACATACACAGCAGGACTACAGATCGTGTTCAAACTCAGGTATAGGAACCTCAAATCATCCAATCAACTGTGCCGCTGAGATACTGAGATATAGTGTCACTTAGGAAGTTCAATCTCAGATGAGGATGCTGGGTAACACTTTATGTCCTTGTTACACACATTAAACATACTTACTACAGTAGTGGTGCAATGGATCATATAATTTAAGAATATTATATACACATACTGTGTGTGTACTTCTCATTTATTACTTAAAGCTCACTTGAAGTACTTTGACAACAAATTTTAAAAAACTACAAGCCTAACTGATAAAGTTCAAAGATTATTAAAGACAAGGGAACAGTCAGCTATAAAATAAGAACAAATACACAAATTACAAGCACACATGAAACTAAATAAGGTCTACCGGTAATAGTCAGGTACAGAAATGAATAAATAAGCCTAAATGTAAAATAACACTATTTGTTCACTGTAGACATTAAATATAGTTCCATCTTTGTTAAAGCTGTATTTGTTGTTTTATTAACATTAATGACACAGATGACAGCAGAAATATTAGGCTGCTGTCACTTTAAGACCGAATAAACTGACAAACATCCGATTCTTTCTCAACTGTTCACTCATGACATAACCGATACTGTACTTAAACCGTACAATTACTTGTTAATTACACATTAAAGTAAAGTGTGTGTAGGAGGCAGACAGACCTTGAGGTCGTCCACAGAGGGAACTCTCTCCTCCAGAAACATCTCTCCGAGCGTCTCGTCGGCGTTGGCCACACACTCCACCAGCTCCTGTCTGCGGTCGGACGCCTCGGACCGCATCTCCGCCGGATCTCGGCAAAGCGGATGCTCTGGCTTCGGTCAAACGAGACACACACACACACACACACACGACGATGATGATGAGAAACCATGTGATCGGCTCACGCTACCACAACGCCAAACTCATGCTCTACCCGAAGGGGCCGTCGAAGTAGATGCTGCGCTCCTCGATCAGATCCACGATGCCTTGCAGATTTCCCTCCAGCCCGATGGGGATGTTGACAAACGCTGCATTTTGATTCAGTTTCGTCCTGCAGGACAAAATAAAACCACCTGATTGTCTCAAACAGACTATTCAAATGTGGAGCGTCTCATTGGCTGCAGGATCAGCTGAGCCAATCAGCTGTGAAGGACCATCACCTGAGCTGCAGCATGACCTGTGACCTCTGACGGCCTGCGTGAGAGCGCCTCACCTGAGCTGCTGCAGCGCTCGGCCCGGATTGGCCCCCTGCCGGTCCAGCTTGTTGATGAAGGTGAGGAAGGGCACGCTGTAGCGCTTCATCTGCCGGTTCACAGTCATGGTCTGACACTGCACGCCCCCGACCGCACACAGCACCAGCACTGCCCCGTCCAGCACACGCAGGGACCGCTCCACCTCGATGGTGAAGTCCACGTGACCTGGACAACACACACACCAAACGCTATCACCACCACCACCCTACGGCGGGCAACGCTGTCCAAACACCAGACAATTAGCGTGGCATTTAGTCTACAGGAGTTCTGGCTGGTGTCCGCCGGCAGGAGCGAGTGTGTGGTCTCACCTGGCGTGTCGATGATGTTGATGTTGTGGCGTCTCCACATGGTGAAGGTGGCGGCGGACTGGATCGTGATTCCTCTCTGTCTCTCCAGCTCCATCGAGTCCATGATCGCCCCCACTCCATCCTTCCCTCGCACCTGACGGAGACACGAGATGAAGACGTTACAGGAGCAGGTCCTCTGGAGAACCCCGTCAGAGCGCTCTGAGCTGCGGTTAAAGGAGTAGTTCACTTTTGAAAAAACTTTTGCTGGTAATTTACTCACCCCCGTGTCATCCAAGATGTCCATGTCTTTCTTTCCTCAGTCGAAAAGAAATTAAGGTTTTTGATGAAAACATTCCAGGATTTTTCTCCATATAATGGACTTCAATGGGAACCAAACGGTTCAAGGTCCAAAAGACAGTTTCACTGCAAACTTGTTCAAAGGGCTTTAAACGACACCAGACGATGAATAAGGGTCTTATCATGCGAAACGAGCGGTTATTTTAAAACTTATTCCAAAAATGTAACTTTTCTAAGGACAAATGCTAGCCTTGCTCTATTCTGTGAGGTGCGTTTGTAACGTCACGTAATACGTAATTACGTTCAAAAGGTCACGGGCGACGTAGCCGGAAGTACAGAATCAAAATCGTCCGACATCGTTGTTTTTCCTTTTAATTCCTTTTTTGTAAACGGCGTTTGAGTTAGTTTGCACGTTCAACCTATGCGTTCAACTTGTAAACACTGACTCTGTACTTTCGGCTACGTCGCCCGTGACCTTTTGAACGTAATTACGTATTACGTGACGTTACAAACGCGCCTCACAGAATATAGCAAGGCTAGCATTTGTCCTTAGAAAAGTTACATTTTTGGAATAAGTTTTGAAATAAGCGATCGTTTCGCATGATAAGACCCTTATTCATCGTCTGGTGTCGTTTAAAGACATTTGAAGCTGCATCTGAAACTGTTATTAACCGTCTTTTGGACCTTGAACCGTTTGGACCCCATTGAAGTCCATTATATGGAGAAAAATCCTGGAATGTTTTCATCAAAAACCTTAATTTCTTTTCGACTGAGGAAAGAAAGACATGGACATCTTGGATGACATGGGGGTGAGTAAATTATCAGCAAAAGTTTTTTCAAAAGTGAACTAATCCTTTAAAGAGTGTGTAAGAGCTGTGGTCGGGTCCGACACGGAGAACAGCAGCGTCAAACCCGGTCAGTGTGTGTAGCTACAGTACGGGTTACTGCTAGCATTTGTTCCCTCTCCTTCTGTTATTGGTGCGTTTCTCCCCTCTTGTGTAAAGGCTCCGCCCTCTTCTGGACAGAGGCGGAGCTGCAGCTCATTAGCATTTAAAGGGACACACACACCAACACACTCATTAAGCGGCAACTTTTATGAGCTATAATAAATGATGTCACAGACTCGTTCTGGAGACCCATAGATGTGTAGTCCATCTGTGTGTTTGCTAGCGTACCTCGTGCATCTCGGCGATCCGGCCGGTGTAGTACAGCACGCGCTCCGTCAGGGTGGTCTTCCCCGAGTCGATGTGCGCAGAGATGCCGATGTTTCGGATCAGCTCGTTCGGCGTGAACCCAGTCGAGCACGAGCGACAGCAGCCGACCGACACCTGACACACACACACACACACACAACAGCAGATCAACACTTGAGACACACACATTATCAGAGAGACAAACACATACACACACAACAGCAGCGGATCAACACTTGAGACACACACACACACGATCAGAGACACACAAACATACACACATGTCGATAGCACAAGTCTATCTGATGTGATGTTTACATCTGGAATTGCTCATCTGCAATACATCTATAGGACGTCTCCTGTCAGATGTCAAATAGACGTTTAGAAGATGTCCTTAAGATATAATCATTTAGAATGCATGTTAAACTGACATCTTCTAAACGTCTATTTGACATCTGACAGGAGACGTCCTATAGACGTATTGCAGATGAGCAAACACTCTTAAAAATACATATAGACTTGTGCTATCTGGGACATGATCAGAGACACACACACACATGATCAGAGACAGAGACACACACACATGATCAGAGACACACACACACATGATCAGAGACAGAGACACACACACATGATCAGACAGACAGATAACATGCAGCTGAATAATAAGAGTGTGTTCACACACACACACGCACCTGTTTCGCCGTGTCGTGCCCGGGCCTGAGCGGGTGCAGTCGGGTTAAAGCTGTGGCTGCTCTCAGAAGCCGCATTTTGATTTACAGTAGATGTGTGTGTGAGTAGTGTGTGTTTACTCTGGTGTCACACACACATGAGTTCAAAGTCACGCCGACCGGCTGCTTGTGAAACAGCTTGCTTCCGGTTCTACGGTGAGCCGAGAGGGGAAAAACTCGATTTCAGAAACGCGTTTCGTGCAGCTTCGGAAACTTCTGTGAATCTAAAGTAGACTCACTGTATTCCGGACATCACGGTATTCCGGACACTTGATCTTTTTCCGCAAATTTTATAAATAAACACTTTCAGATCACGGCATACATCCGTGTCATCTTTGCCTCCTCTTTCGATTCCGACCAACCTTATGCTTCCAGAGCCAGTCGTTTCAAAGAAATCAACGCGAGTTTCTAACGTTTTTTTTTTATTGCATAACAAGAACAATATATAACATACACATACAGAGGATCACATAGTATTACATTCATAATAGCATCAAAGAAACAATAGACAGAAAAAAAACAAATTACAAAAAACAAACAAGAAACATTAAAATTCCAAAAAGAAAGGGATTCAAAAAGTATACATCCGTTTCGCTTTTTTATTTATTGCATCTTTTAGGGCTTCAATATAATGTTTAAGCTCAATTTTTAATAATATAGCCTAATGTTAGGTTTATTATTTGTCCATTTCTGTTTGTGCATGGTATTTTCCATACATAATTATTATTAAGTTAATCACCAAATTTTGCTCCACACTTTTATTTTTGTATAACAAAAAACATCTTTGCCAGATAGACGAATCTTTAATTTTGTGAATTTAAATATCAAATATTCAACATCAATCCAAAACAGCTGGGTAAATACACATTCAAAGAATAAATGTTTTATTGATTCTTCTTCTGTGTTACAAAAGGTGCATGTTGTCTCCATATCTCTAAAAAAAAATCTTGAGACTACTTGTCTCACTGGATAAATCAAATGAATAATCTGTAATTTATTTAACTTTATAAGTAAGACAGTATATTTACTGGGTAGACTCCGGACCTCTTTCCATTCAATCGGATTATACAATGAGTTCCAAAATGGTTTACATTTAGACAATAACGTAGTTCTACATAATTCTCTAATAAAAAAAGTTATAAAAATTTGTATCTATAATTTTTACACCATCAATACTTAATTGATTGGTATTATAAGTAAGGGTTAATGCCCGACGAACAGCACATGTTGTCCCTGAGCTCCGTAACGACATCTCTCATAAAGATTTGCGTCTTTAAATAGTGAAATAATTCTCCGAAAAACAGCTAGCCTTCTTCTTCTTCTTATATGATTCCGGCAGTGTAGACGCTGCTGAGCGTATTACTGCCCTCCACGGGTCAAAGTTTGTACTAAATTCTTACATACAATCCTGTGTCATGCAGGAATTGAAGAACTGCTTTGGAGATCAGTTTATGCTCATCACTGTGTCCAAACAAAGATAAAACAGAAAAAGCCTTAACTCCATATCCTGACAGTTTACTAAAGAGAACATTTCTTTCAACCCTATACTTTCTGCATTCCAGGAAAACATGCCCTACAGTCTCAAGACTCCCACATTCACACAAGCCAGAAACATGCTTCCCTACAATGTGCAAAGAATAATTCAACCCACAGTGCCCCAATCTCAATCTGCACATTTTAACTGAGTCCCTGCGGGACAAAAAGTTACATGAGCATCTTTTCCTAACTTCAGGTTGTATAGAAAAGTAATGTCTACCCCTAATTTCCTTTTCCCACCCTCTCTGCCATTCTTTTATTAAACTCTCTTTAATTTTTTCTCTTAATTCCACTCTTCCTAATAATAAATGAACATCTACTTCTCTTCCTAAGCTCTCCTTTGCAATATTATCCACTCGTTCATTCCCACTCACCCCAGCATGCCCGGGGACCCAGCAAAAACTGATGTTGCAAATAAACCTAGTACTAAAAACCACATTCAGGATGTCATTGACAATGTCAGGACGAGATTTAGATTTTCCTACTTTTAAATTATCTAGAGCACCTACAGAATCAGAGCAGATAATAACTTCTCTAGGTTTGACTTCCTCAATCCACCATAGAGCCCATAGAATTGCCATTAATTCAGCAGTGAGAATAGAACTTCCATTAGAAATACGCCGACTAATTTCCAACCCTAACTGTTCCACATACACCCCAAATCCAGCTCTCCCACTAACTGGATCTCGAGATCCATCTGTAAAAATAATCATTGTGCTCTGCCTAATAGAATTAAGATATTCCCCTATTTTTTAACAGCTAGCCTCTTCGCTAACTAACACACAAAATACCATTGGAATGCTACTTCCGCCGCGTCACCGGAAGTTTCACCCACTTTATTTTTTACAGGAGCGCCCCTCGGAAACTTGTGGATAAGAGCTCCTCTAATCCGTTGTTGACTCTTTCATTTATGCATCGCATGATGTTTTCTTGAATTTCAGACAAGGACGGTTCAGATCTACTTTTCTTCGGCTCAGGGGTACTGGACGTTGAATCCGGTAAAGAAACTGTAGAGCCTTGCATTGCATATCGTGAGCTTAGAATTATAAGGTTCTATCTCCACTTTTGGTCGAAATTGAGTTTTTGACATAATCTGATCCATTAGGTGTTTATTAATGCCTGTGTGTGGTGTTATTTTGTATATAAAAAAAGATTAATAGATAAAGCTATAATAGAAGATTATACTACATAACAGTTTTGCCAGCTGGGATGTAAAAACTTTGATGCTCAATATCTCAAAACTACTATACCCTAAACGGAGATAGATTGAATGTGCATTGTTTGAATGTCAGCGCCGCAAATGTGCATTTCATCCTCTTTGTTCTTCATCTTTGTCAGCGATTTTGTTTGGCATTTTTATTTAACTTTACTCTGCCTATCTTTTTGTTTATCCGCCATTCGATGCTGTCTCTCTTGTTAGTCACACCGTTCAAAACGATGGTTCAAAAGCAACTTACAACAAGTTCTCCGTGTTAATTATCTGGTAAATAATAGGATCTTACATTTAGATGTCCGATTGGTCAATTTTTAAACAAAAAAAAGAACAATTTGAGGTGAAGGAACAAACTTTTATCCTCAGCTTCTCATAACTACCTCCTCACCGGTCGCCATCTTGCGCAGTCAAAACAGAACTGTTAATTTAATTTAACTTAACTTTTAAACACCAGGAAAATATTGTATCTACTTTTTCACACTCCTTTTTTTAAATAAGCGTTATTTTCTGGCACATTAGGGCCGGACAAAGCATTATTTTCAATAATTCTTTCTATTTTACATCTTGCATTGCTTATGTGGATCTACAATTAAAATAGCTGGAGCAGTTGCTTTGTGGTAAGGTGCCCAAAGAAACACTGCTGCCATATTACAATAAATAAAGATTGAGTTAATACAAAGCTATGAAATGTTAACACTGTGTATGCCCTCAAAATAATTACACTTTAACTTCATTAAGTAACTTAGAGGTGTATAAAGGTGACAGACTCACCACACTTCTGCTATTGCCACATCTTGGTTTGCACTTCATTAAGATGCAGGGTTTACCAGGGGGAGTGGGATTTTCACAGCATTAAAATGTCGCCCGTTGAAATCACACTCCCCTCACCTGCACAGGTGTCTAATGTCACAGACTCACCACACTATCCATTTAAGAATTTACAAAGAAAACTTTATTTACATTCCATGCACTAACAATAACAAAATTAAAATAAACACTAAACTAAAATGAACTATTTACAGTCAGAGTTTTTTTATCTCTTATGTGCAGCAGACCCGGCAGACGAAGCTCTTCACGTTCACACTCTGAGCACACATCACAGCATATCTAAACGTATTAATATACATATTTAGTACAGTAAAACAATAATTTCAATGCAAATATCTTCGTCAATCAGTTATACAGTGGTATACTTACCCAGTCAGTTCCATTCTCCTTCTACCCACAGATAAAACACAGGTCCATCAGGTCTTCTAACAATGATTCAAATATAGTGTGATATTAAACACTACACTGTAAAAAGTCGTTCAGTGCTATTGTCCTTATAACTTAATTTTAAAAAGTATATTTATTCAAATAAATTAACTTATTTTTCTTTCTATGTTTTTTGAGTTTTCAAAAAGTAAAAAAGTGTGAATATTTTCGTAACCTAATATTTTCTATAATAAAATTAATTTAATTGGACTTCACCATAAATTGATTTTACAAAACTCATTTTAAAAGTTTATATCAGACGTATCCCTATGGACGTATCAGACGTAAAACGACACGACCCGCCCCACTACCTGCAGCAACAGAAGAACAAGCCCGGGCAAATTCTTCATTCTCGTCTGTTCCAGAAGTTTATTCGAACAAGGTTTTCTACGGAGCTGGATAATACTTCACGTACCTCATGTAAGTAACTCTTTGTATTGTAAAAATTGAGATTTTACCCTAATTAACGTCTTTCTGCACAATCGCTCTGTCGAAGAGCGCCAATTTCGAATGTGCTTTAACGTTAACGTTACCTCAAACAACTTGAGCCACATAACTTACTGTATTAATCTACGTGTGTGCACGCGTTGTATAAGTAATGTTATCTTTGAGTGATAGTTTAATGTTTCAGAGGTGTTTGTAACTTCTTCATAAACATTGAGTCCACTGCTAACGCTGTCGAAGCTACGACAGACACACGTAGCCACAGCTAATGTTAGCTAAGTTAAGTGATTAACGTTACTGATTATCGTCGGTTGGAGATGAATGTAAATGTGCCAGTGCAGCCGTTACTTTGGCGAGTATGCAATATATCCAAAACCACATTGAAGAGGGAGTACCCATTTACAACTATGAGTGTGGGCACTGTTACCTAATGTGGATTAGCACATAGCCTGAAATACACCCACACCGCCCGTGGTTAACACACCTCAACGGTGGTGCTCAAGGTGCAGGCCCATTTCTCCTCATCCAGCGTGCTTTACACGTGTTTGTCTTAACAGGAAAACTTTGTATTTGACTGTGGCACATTCACACATCTCACACCAACACATTTTGCAGTCATTCCAGTTGTTCCACTAATATTTTGGCAAGAGAGGTTAACTTAAAAGTATTTTAGGCTATCCAACCATCAAAATTAGTTAAAAGCTATTTAATCACGGTAAAGCATAGTTAAGGCAAATATCCGGCATAGTTCCTCTTTCACAAAATTGTATTTTATGCTCACTATGCCTAACTCATAACCCAAATTTCATATTTATATTGCTCTGTAATTATTTGGTACAGATGTCTAACTTAATATATTTATTTGAATTTTGTGGATGCATTTAAAAATATTTGTTTAAGAGAGAACAGTAGTAGACATGATGTTTCAGATTATTTTCTAAAATAAGTTCTGTGATGAACTAAAGTTAACCATTCTTGTCTTGTCGAGCAGGATAATCTTCATTTGTATTTCAAGTGCATTTTTTTAATGGATTTTATCAGGCTTGTATTCAAAAGGCTAGATGTAAACTAACTTTATTTATTTTTATTGACAGATGGGATGGCCCTGTAAATTGTGCAACACTGTGGTACCAGAAAAGAGTGACATTTTAAAGCATTATAGACTGCATCATGGGACTTTTGGACACAGCCATGCCTTGCCTTGTATTCATATAGATTGCCCATGTTCTTTTAAATCCTGGAGTTCCTTCCGCTCTCACCTCTCAAGATACCACCCAGAAGCTAAATCCTTCATCTCACCACAAGTAAGTCTTTCATTTACCTGCCCTTTGTGTCAAAACCCTGGATTTAACAACGAAAAGGATTTTTTTGAGCATATAGGTCACCATCTCAAGAATAACGAGACTGTTAAGTGTGTCTTCATAGAATGTGATCACCAAACAAATGTGTATGCGACGTTTGCAACACACAAACACAGAAAGCATACTCCACATACATCACAAGATTTCAAACCAGGGATTATTTGTGGGTTACCTGAGGAAACACTTGATTTTGAAGCCTCTTAGTGGGAACTCGGTGGATACCGACATTCCGAGTCCATCCCCCTCTGAAAGGCAGAGCCCATGGCCTGCTGTGTTTCCAATTCCAACCTTCTCACACAACACTGAACTGGCCTTAAGACAAGGAAATGAGATTTATTTAAGAGATGGCACCCCTATGACATCACCAAGCATCAAATCAGACATCCTGGAGCGCCTGGCAGAGGCCATGTTTTTCTACACCGCCTACCCCAATGATGCCCAGAGATGTGCAGTGGCAGAGGCACTAGTTGCAAAGCATCCCTGCTTAAAGGAGCCCGGATCTTTTAATGGAATTTATGGGTGGCAGGTAAGCCTAAAGTATAAGTGTGGAAATTACCGGACAAAACGGAAAGCTCTTGGAAGCACTGAACTCCTGATAAACTCACTGAGAAACAAGTCAAGTGATGAGCAAAAAGCTGCTAAAAATGTCAAGAAACCAAAGAGGGCAGAGGTGAATTACTTGCCCTCACACCCACATGGTGAAACAGATGACACCCTTGAGAATCTGAGACTTGAGATAATTGCTGCCCATCAAAAAAAGGACTCTGTCAGGAGCACAAATGATATGATGGCCAGAACATACAGCTGGAGAAGACAGGAAGTTATTACCAAGTCTCCTGGTGTGGCAGAATTCAAGGAAAGATGGCCTGCCCTCTTCGAACCATTCCAGGTAAGTGACTTATCATTCAGTTTTTGCTGACACTACTCACTTCTAAGAACTTTTTAGAAATTGTGACTTGGACATGAGATGGTAGATTAATCTTTAAACCCCCTTAAATAAGTCAAACATTTGCTGTCTTACAGGTAAACGAGGAGTTCCGAAGATGTACTGCGGTTTCCCTGGAAGCAACGTTTATGTCACAACTGGACAAATACACCCCAAAGCTCCTAGAACTCTTTAGTGCAAAGGGAGGAGCAACTGGTCAACGCATCAAAAACTTGTTGATGGATCTGATACAGGTAGGGAAAAAATGGTTACAAAGTTAAGGTACAATATTTATCAATTGAGTGGTTTGTTTTTCAGTTCTTTCAGCATCTTGCTTATCTGTGTTATTTTTTTGTTGTTTTTTTTTGGTTAATTAGCTTTTTTTTTTTCTAAATTGTCTCGTGTTATACTATATTTATAATGAATAAAAAATAAAAAAATAATACAGACCTACAGTAATTACAGGGTTGGAGTGAATTTACCAACAAAAATAATTTGTTCATTATTGTTCTATTAACTAGGACCCAAGTGCCACTGCAGTGAAGAAGAGAGATGTCACTCTGAGATGCCTCTTTGAGTATATGGGAGAGAGTGGACAGGAGCTTATCTCGGATTACTGTGTAAGTATTGTCTCAAAGCAAGTTTGGGTCAGTCTGGTGAACATGTTTAAATTTTGCGGACTGTTAAAGGATAACTCTTGCCAAATTGCAACCTAGGCTATTTTTGCTAATCTACCAGAGTCATACTTTCTTGTAAAAGCATAATTAGAATGGAAATGCCACTTTTAAGATTGACCGTATTTTCGTTTTCAGGTCATAATGCCTTTTGAATGGGTATGCTAGGGGCACTAGAATGATTCCATCAAAATCGCTAGTTTTGAAACACTAAAGCTGCTCGACACATGAACTTGAGCATTGACAACATTGTTTGTTTACTAAAAAGAAATGTTTTGTACGACTCGCATTATCAGTTAGTGTTTCCGGTGGCTGGAATTTTGACAGTCAAAAGTATTCTCCGAATGCAATGTAATGCTACATATGAGGAAATGTCATGAACTTGTAATTCCAATAAAAAGCATGATAACTTAGCTCATGGCAATTTATATGGAAACAAACTTTCCATTAAATTGATTTACTTTCCATATAAATCAACGAGCTTTCCATCTTTACTTTCCTCATGTTACGTTGCATTTGGGGATTGACAAAATTCCAGCTACCAGAAACACAAACTTAGCCTATGGATTCTACAGGGTATTTGCACCAGTGTTGTCTTAACCTAGAAGTATGTCTATAACAGCTTTTCAGAGGATTAACTAGCGCTTAAATAATATGAATCACTGACTTGTCCAGGCGACACATAAAACTTAACATCAGTTGTCTTAAGAGTTCCTCTCTCGCGCTCTCACGCTTACTAAATCGCCTCACCTCCGGCGCCGCGCATTCGCTACATTCCCTTTGGCACATCTAGTGGATGCATAATGCAAACCCAGTCAAACGTTTGACTGCAGTATCTTATGCGCCTTATAATACGGTGCGCCCGAAAAATGTTCTAAAACAGGTCATTCATTGAAGGTGCGCCTTATAGTGCGGAAAATAACACAATGTTGTCAATGCTCGAGTCCATGTGTAGAGCCCCTGGTGACACTTCAAGTACAGTTTCATGTTGTGTTGAGCCTTAGTGTTTTAAAAATATTGATTTTTATGCTATCATTGTAGTGCCCCTAGCACTCCCATTCAAAAGGCATTTCGACTTCATATGAATAGTCAGTCAGTCTTGAAAGTGGCATTTCCAATTCTAATTATGCTTTTACAAGAAAGAATGACTATTTCAGAAATAACAAAAATAGCCTAGGTTAAATTTTGGTAAGCGTTACCCTTTTATGTGAACTAAATGAACCAGCATTTGGCAGGTAGTGGATTATTTATGGATTTATTTATTTTTTTTAATAAATGAGATTGTTTGTCTTAAATACTTTATCTTGTATCTCAAAAGGGGGCTGCAGAGACCACTGTTCATGAGGAGCTGAAAATTAAGAACATGAGCGTCTATGTCTGCCGTGAGCCAGATGCAGTAGGAATCATCATTGAGGGGATACCAGTCCTTACCAATCTTGGAAACCTGGCCAAAGCATGCTGCTTCCTGCTTGGGTTGACGTATGCACTTAATCTTGAGTATCCATCCAAGCTTTCCAAAACATTTGAGGTGTTTCAAAGGCTTTTTGTGGGACTTGACACACTGCGCCCAAAACCAAGCCCCAAGTTCATGACCCTGAAAAACAAACTACTTGCCTAGGCACTCAGACATGACTGTCACTGCACTTGTGAACAGCTGTTTTCTTTGTCTGTTCAACATCTTTGTACATTGGACATAATGAGTGTTATGTCCAATGTTATATTGGACATAATGGGACATTCAGGGTGTTGTAATGCATGGTTTATCCTTTTCATGTTTTATCTGCACAGGTCATACTTCCTGGTGTAAAAAAATAATTATATTTTATACACGCAAAATAGACCTGCTGTTAAGCTGCACTTTAAAAACTGGTCAGTAGTTGAGATCAGTGAGATGTTTGACTAAAGAGGTTTCAAAATATTCACACATACTGTGAAGGTATTATGCCAAGTTGAGGTCAGATGGTCATGCTTGTGACCTGTAATGTTAGTGTTAAAATGTTTCAATGTTGTGTTCACACAGTTTACTTCAAAATTAAAATTCTGTCATTTACTCACCCTCAAGTTGTTTTAAGCCTGTATGAATTTCTTTCCTCTACAGGACACAAGGAAGATGTTTGAAGAACGTCAGTAACCAAACAGTTAACTGGACCCATTGACTTCCATGTTAGAAAAAAATAAAAAGACTACGGAAGTCAATGGGGTCCAGTTAACTGTTTGGTTACTGACATTCTTCAAACATTTTCCTTGTGTTCAGCAGAAGAAAGAAATTCATACAGGTTTAAAACAACTTGAGGGTGAGTAAATGACAGAATTTTCATTTTGAAGTGAACTATCCTTTTGAGGTGTTTTACTAACCTACTATTTACAAGCTGAGGTCATGTTTTGTTTAAAACATGAATACAGAAGTTCTTGATTGTTTATATTATCCAGCTCATTCCCACTATTTGGATATGGCATGTAAATTGTTAGAAAAATAGCAAGTGCCTGTTAACTTGATATTAAAATGTTTTAATATTACGTGTGTACTCACAGTAAATACTGTGAAGGTGTTCTTCTAACCTGCACTTTATAAGTCGAAGTCATGCTTTTTTTAATGCATGAATAGATGTTATTGATAGCTCATTTTGAATTTTGTTTGTAAATTGTTACTTAATTTAAAAATTGTGTAACATTATGTGCAGAACTGTACTGTGAAGGTGTTCCACTAACCTGCACTTTATTTGCTGAGGTGGGTTTTCTTGAATGCTAACTTTAATGTTTACTGTCCAGCTCATTGCTACTGTTTTGGATATGGCAATGATTTAATAAATGTTGGAAATTGACACAGAAGCAACTATTTATTTAAAGCTATTTACACTTTCAAATCAAAGAAAGGGCAAATTGATCAAAATTAATAAATCAGAACATTATCTACTTATTTTTTTCATTTAAAGGTTACCTATATTAATTAAGTCTAATGTGTATAAAATGACATTTTGTACATTGATAGTACTCAATTTATTGGCTTTTTCTGAAAATGCTACTTAATATTTTTGCATACATTGAAATTCAAATTATTAAGTTGACTTTACTCAAAATATCAGTTAGTTCACTAAACTTGAAAAAAATAGTTGGAAAATGTTGTCTTAATTTTATTGAGTTAGATCCAAGTAACAGTTTTAACAGTGTACATTTAATTTGAAAACATGCTTACATTTAATTCATTGCAAGTCCAGAATTCGTACCCTTGTTTTTTTAGCAGGCAGGTGGTTATTTCCAACCTGATTGTCTTGACTGCTTTTGCGGAGGGACAGAATGACTTATGATGAAAGAGTTTGACAGTACTAGGAATATGTTTAGTGACATACTAACTAACTAAATACTTTTCTGACAAATTTTCCTTTGAGAAGCCAACAGAAGTGTTGGTCACACAGATTAGATTGTGTTAGAAAAAATGGGGAAAAAAGCCAAGTGTTAGTGCCGGTCACTTGTCAGTACATCTCAATAATTAACACAATTAAATTTCTATTTAGCTGACAAAATGGAAAAACTGTATAAACAGTCTACTGGTGGACAGGATAAAATGCAAGGTTATTGTGATGGTGCGCAATATGCTGGACATCCTCTGTACCAAAACCATCCCAATGTACTGCAAATTCAATTATACTTCGATGATTTGGAAACAACAAATCCTCTTGGATCAAAAACAAAGATTCATAAAATGGGGGCAGTTTACTTTGCTTTACGAAATGTGCCATCAGAGAATAACTGTTAGCAGATATCAAAGAAATTGAGCAGAATGGTATAGAGGTCAAAACAGATGACGAATGCCAATTACTTCTGTTGACGGCAGACAATCTTGCCTGTCACTCCCTCTGTGGCTATGTGGAAAGTTTCTCCGTGAACAGATTTTGTCAGTTTTGTGTAATTGACAAACCAATTTCGCAGTATATTTTTGATGAAGATAACACTGAGAGGCGTACAAGGGAAAACTATGCACACCATGTAACTTCTAAACACCATTTTATGACTCATTACCCGAGTGTTATGACTTTATTTGGACCTCTTTCCAAGTTGTGGTGCATGAGGTTTGAAGCGAAACATAACCCCCATGCCCAAGTAGTGTGTAACTTCAGAAATATTTCAAAGACTCTGGCTCACAAACATCAGATTCAGCAAATGTACCACTGGAAATTGAGTTCACCACTCAATTCTGAAATGACAGTACCCAACGCTTTTCCAGTTATGATTGCATCTTTGTACAAGGGCGACAAATTGCTTGAAAAACTGAAGACAGACTCCCATTTTAAGACTCTCACTTTTACCAGTTCAATTCATGTGACCAATGATATTAATTTTTTTGGGGACATCATACAGGACGGGATGTGTTCTGCCTTTAAAAGCAGATGAAAGGGGAGAACCTTTATTTGGTGAAGTTATACACATAATCCCCCAAAATGAAAGTGAATGTGCACTTATGTTCCTGAGATTTTTAAAAGTGCAATATTTTGATGAGCACCTGTTTTCTTTTAATGTCACTAAAACCAAAGAATTTGATGTGGCAAAGCTGCCAGGTGACTTAATGGACTATAGACCATTAGATATTGTATTATTTTGTGATCAGCAATATATCACTCCCCAGATACAAAATTTTGATTTAAATAAGTTAGAGTTGCTATTGTTAGACATGTTTGGTTAATGATGAATTGATTTAAATTGTGAGTATAAAATATGAACAATGTGTGTCTGTGGTTATTTATTTGACTACAATTTTAAAGTTAATTCGTGTATTTCTGTTGTTTCTGTTTGCTGTGTGTTGTATTTTAGAACAAGCTGAGAAAGTTTGGTCTGATTTTGGAAATGATTTCAGACTTTGTTCTTTGACATTGTATTTAACAAGAGTTTTATTAGAAATGAAAAAGAAGTATATTTCAAGTTCATTTTATGTAGTATACTTAAGTAAGGTTCAAGTATATTTTTAAGTATACATTATGTAGTAAGCATACTAATGTCACTATGTACTAGTAGTAAACTTGTAAGTGTACTATTTTAATACCGCTTGGGACTAAATTGGCCCACTTTTAGTACATAAAAGTATATGTTTAAGTGTACTATAAGTGTAACAGCAAGTGCACAACTAGTTCATAATTATGTATCTCATGTGTACTGCAAGTGAATTTATGGGTATACTAGTAGTTTACTTTTTTACTTATACAAGTATACTTTGAATACTCAATTATACTTTTAAGTATTTCTGGATCAAAAGACTACGTACAAGAACAGGACAAATATACTTGCTTTTCTCTCAGTATAAGTCAAGTACACTTAAGTGTAATTTGAATTATATTTCTGAGAAGTACATATAGTATACTTCTGAGAAGTACAGGAAAAATAAACTGAAAGTATACTTTCTTATTTTTTAGTTTAAAAGAAGTATACTAATGGCACACTTGAATAAACTTCTTTTTCGTAAGGGTAAGCCTTCATGAAAAAGGGTTAAATATTATTAAAGGTTAAATATTATTAATGACATTATATGCAATGGGGGGATACAAGATTTTCCTATGAACCGCGTGGTGTTTAACACACAAAAGTTAAGTTCGTTGTAAGATTTAATATTTATCTATTAAATTAAATTAACAGTTCTTGTTTTGACAGCTGGTAGATTTATTTATTTTTATTTATTTTATTATTATTATTCCTTACCCGTCGAAGTTTAAAATAATATCACGTCTAATTTTAAATAAACTCAAAAAATAGAGATGAAATATTAACTTAAGAAATGTACTTTTTGTTCAGTGATAGCCTATCTTACAAAGATTTCAGAATTTTTGTGCAATTTTTTTTCTATATAGTGTTGAAATGGCAACTAGTAAATACACCAAGTTTCGTCATGCTAGCATGTCTGTGTAAGCAGCCTATTTAAAAAAAGTTTAAGTTTTATAAGCTCAAATGCTCGCCTTGCTCTGTTCTGTGATGCGCGTTCGTGACTCTCCTGTTCGAACTCGTTCATCAAAACGAACAAATCTTTTCCCGAGTCATTTGGTTCATTGAACGAAATGACCAATCGTTTCGCTTTATAATACCATTATTCATTGTCCGGTGTCGTTTAAAGCCTTTTTGAAGCTGCAATGAAACGGTTGGGGTCCTGGAATCCTGGAATGTTTTCATCAAAAACCTTAATTTCTTTTTGACTAAAGAAAGAAAGACATCTTGGATGACATGGGGGTGAGTAAATTATCAGCAAACTACTCCTTTAATAGCTCGTATCCTATGATGGGAGTATGGAGAGAAGAGAGTTGGCAGGGTGAGTATCATTTTGAAGGATCTGAATACGGACCTCTAGATGGGGGAGAGATTGCAGCCAATGATGTTGAGGCTGTATTGACTTTCCTGTGTAGCTGCGACCTCTGCTGGACACTAGAGTTGCCATACCAGACCCTAGAAAAAGTTTGAAATAAACTAAGTTACAGTAGGTCAAATTAACAAAGAGCATAAGTACATTTACCTTGGCCAGTTAGAGGAGTAATTTCTACTTACTCATTTGAAGTTTACTTTGCAATACTCTGTGTCAAGTTTGTAAATTTTACTATAGTACTGAAATAAGCCATGCATTTAAAACATGTAAACACACCATATCGTGTCTGACACTAAGACTACATATCTGCACATTATAATGAGGTACCCAACCAAACACATAGACTCCAAAACCTCACTATACTACACACAACACACAACGGCGACACACAACGAACTAGAACATTGCCTAGCCGTCTTCACCAAGCATTTTATCTTATCACTAACAGTTCTCCTAAATGGCAGTAAAAGTTTTTATTTAAGAGTTTCCTCTTCAAACCTATTCACAAGCTGCTGAGACCGGCTTTACTCAGGAATAGACAGAAATCGTGAGATGAGAGAAAGGACGGGGTGACCTAAATTTATGGATGATGTCATCACTCGTACTAATGGTGCGTTCTATTATACCCAACGAACCGTCTCGGATCTCGGATTTGACGTCACGTCCACACTTCAAGCGTTCTATTTGTTTTACGCGTCCGAGTCGGAGAAAAAAATGGACGCCACCCGGAAAGCTGTTATAATGGTAGCACTGACCGAGTACCAGGCACTTACATTAAAACGAAAAAATATTATGACTACACCTTATTAAAACGCAGCCATTTGAACTTGAAAATGTTCACTTTATTAATGTTTTTCATGTTAATCTTCTGTTAGCAACCCTAGCAACGTCAGTAATTGCACTCACAACAACCGATTCCCATACCTACAGGGGACGCAGTAATACGAGTGATTATAACCGTCATTTAAAATACCAAAGCGGTTCAAAAACAATTCATTCTTACAAGTCACAGGGCGCAGCCATCTTGAATTCCGAAACGGAATTCTTTCTCGGTGTCCTCACAGTTGTCCGACGTCCGAGAGGAGAAATCCGAGGAAAGGGGGCGTGTTGCTAGGCAACGTCTGTCGTCCGAATCGGATCTCCGAGACGGATGAATAATAGAACGCACCATGACTATGACCCTCCCAGACAGCAAACTGACATTGAATCAACGTGGAAACGACGTCTCTCATGACATTGAAACAACGTTGATTTTGCTCATCGAATTAACGTTGAACCAACGTCAGACGCGGCATTCTTCAAAGCTAAATGAAAATCGAAAATTGGTTTGCTTTCATAACGTTGAAACAACGCGTTGATTTCAAGTTGATTTTCCGTTAGTTTTGAAAGAATGACGCGTCTGACGTTGGTTCAACGTTAATTCGATGAGCAAAACAATGTCAGATCAACGTTGTTTCTATGTCATATTTCCACGTTGATTCAATGTCAGTTTGCTATCTGATCGGCTGATGGGGAGCGTCAATATTTCTATTCAAACAAAGGTTTTAAAATAAAAGATGTTAACCTATTCAATTAAATTCAAGTTTTAAAATGTGAAATGTTTTGGTTTTAAAAGTGTCGAGGTAATTTGAGTTTGCTCTCGGCTCTGTATATATATATATGCCTCCTCTCGAGCTGATGAAATTGCTCCTTCTGATCTTGGTTTATGAACATGATTGTCACCAATTTTTAGAATATTGCTTCGCTAATCATGATATCTCACTGAAAGTGGCTTTGTTTAAAAGTACTGTTCGCAACCCTATCAATTAAATATTAAATAAAACAAAATGACATGTATATAGGCAACACTATAAGCTCCGCCCCTCACGTCTGTCCTGTGTCTGCTGCTCTGAAATCTCTCAATAGGAGCTCCAAATGATGATTGACAGCACTGAATGATTAGGCTCCTCCCCCAACCTACGTTTGGAACTGGATAACATGAGCCCTGCACAAACTTAAACTATTGAAATGAATTGAGTAACTTGATGATGAATTTACTCTCATTCACCCCAAGAATGCACATTTTCAGTTAATGCACTTGCTATAGAGTGGCTTTGTTTAAAAGTACTGTTATTAAAATATGTTAGCAACCCTATCAATTAAATATTAAATAAAACAAAATGATCCAGCTTCAGTGAGAAGGACAAATGTTCACAACTGATGTGCAAACAAGCTTGAGTGTGTCGGACTACAACTAATTACAAGGTCAAATAAAACGTTAAAAAACTATATTCTATTTAAACAGACAAACAGTGAGTGTGTTGTTTTTTTCTAGCTCAGAGAATGAACATGATTCAGTGTGACGGCAGCAGCGTGTGTGTGTGTGTGTCAAAGTGAAACTGCTGCGGTCTCGTTTAAGAGATGAAGATTGACCCGATGAGTGGAAAACCTGTGTGTGTTATTGTTAGGCACACTGATGTGCGTGTGTGTGTGTGTGTTTGTGGGTAAAGAGTGTCTTTACTGTATTTCCTTTATATTCTAAGAAATACTACATAAGAAATAAAAGAAACAATTCTATAATCATTTTAATAACTGCCTGTGTTACAGAACGTTATTTTAAGTGAGTCTTAATAAATGCTGTATATTAAGAAAGTAATATCTAGTGTGTGTGGTCTCTTGTCCAGATGGGGGAGGGTCCACACACACACACACACACACACACACACATTCTGTCATAGATTTTCATTATAATGTTACACTGCTCAATGAAAATGGTTCATGTCGGCGTTTTGTTCAGCTTGTGTTTGTGGCAACAGTTTGGTGAGTGTTTTATGTCATTGTTTTTGTTCATGCTTTGCTTTTCATACAGGATAATATGATGGATTTGCATTTGTTACTTCCAGATAAAATATACTCTGAAATCGAGCAGATAAATTACTTTAAATTCAGGTCTTTCTTCACAGATCATCACAATCAGAAACACACACTCTTCATATCTTAAAAGTCCCTGTAAAATATTCAAAGCAAAGATACAACTAGTTTACTATCTCTAGGCAGATATTCTTCTAAAATATTATGTGTGTGGAGTAAACAAATGATTTAGAGTCTCTAAATACATAAAGACAATGAGTTTTAGGGTTAAATCTGTGTGTTCTTCAGGAGTGTTTGCAGTGAAGTCAGTGTCAGTGATTGAGGGAGATTCAGTCTCTCTAAACTCTGATCTCACTGAAATGATGGATGATGATGTGATTCAGTGGAGATTTGGGGATGAAAACACTTTAATTGCTGAAATCGATGTACTGGAGGACAGAATGACTGTATATGAAGATGTTCCTGATGGGAGATTCAGAGACAGACTGAAGCTGGACGATCAAACTGGATCTCTGACCATCACACACACCACGACTGAACATGAAGGAGTTTATGAACTACAAACCAACAGTGTAAGAAAGATTTTCGTTCTCGCAGTCTACGGTGAGTTCAACATTTTTCACATCTGTTTTTTACATTTAAATAAATTAATAGACCATTTTGTTTTTCTTATTTTATATTGTTTATTTTTTAATGTAAATTTTAAACTATTCAATTTAGTAAGCCATTATAAAGTGATTTAACAGTATTAATCTGTGACAAACCCTGTTTCTGTTTGTTCTCTGTGTGTTTGACAGATGAAGTGAAGTCAGTGTCAGTGACGGAGGGAGATTCAGTCTCTCTAAACTCTGATCTCACTGAAATAAAGGATGATGATGTGATTCTGTGGAGGTTTGGAGATGAAAACACTTTAATTGCTGAAATCGATGTACTGGAGGACAGAATCACTGTATATGATGATGTTCCTGATGGGAGATTCAGAGACAGACTGAAGCTGGACGATCAAACTGGATCTCTGACCATCACACACACCACGACTGAACACACTGGAGTTTATAGACTAGAGATGACAAGAAATCTGAGCAAGAGTTTTAATCTCACTGTCTATTGTGAGTTCAACATTCGTTTCTTTAATTTGATACATTGTAAAAAAAAAAAAATTAAAAAGTTTTTATTTTAATTTTTTTTATTTTAAATGGTTTTCAAACTGTGTAAAATTAACAATGCAGCTGTAATTTTGAAGGATTATGCCATTAATGACAAAATGCAGTAATTGACTGTATTTCTACAGTATTTTTTTTCTGTTTTCTTAAATTACATACAAATGTACAATTGTAAAAATAATCGTGATAGTAATTCGTGAAATCACCACTAGATGGTACGGAGCCCCTCAAGGGACAAATATGAGATGGAAGGAAAAATAATAAGTAAATAATACAGTTTTAGTTTTAAGGAAAGTAAAATAAGTAAAATAATAATAGTAGATGATCTTCGTAGGGATAATGATTTATTGTAATCTTTTTCAGCTCGTCTGCCTGTTCCTGTCATCAACAGAGACTGTTCTTCATCATCATCATCATGTTCACTGGTGTGTTCATCATCAGTGTTGAGTGTGTGTGATGCGACTCTGTCCTGGTACGCAGGAATGAGTGTATTGTCCAGCATCAGTGTGTGTGATCTCAGCATCAGTCTCTCTCTACCTCTGGATGTGGAGTATGAGGATAAAAACACCTACAGCTGTGTGCTGAACAATCCCATCAGCAACCAGACCACACATCTGGACATCAGACACACATCTGCAGGTACAGCAGCACTTTTAATCATAGGTTTATTTATTTAGTTTTATTATTTTCAGAAATTAAAAGTTGCTGTTCTATTTCTGTATTCTGCTCTGTTATATTTCTATTGCTGTTCTATTCCCCATAGTTTTATTTTTTGCTTTCAATATTGCTGTTTTTACCGTATTTACATTACATGTGATTGTGCAGTTTGGAGTTCCTGAAACAACTTCACTGTTTTATCATTGTTTGTTTAGAAGTCCACTGCTGTGGATCTACTGAAGCTGTGATCCGATTGGTCCTCTCTGCTGTGGTGGGTGTGGCTACTGTCATTCTTCTGGTTTATGACATCAGATCCACAACTAATGGAAGATCAGTTGAAGAATCAACAGCTGTTATTTTCAACAACTAAATAATTTCAATTGAGATGTGTACCACTGTGTATTATGCTGAGTGCACATCAACATGAATACATTAAGCAATTGCTTTGTTTTTCTATTTTAGGGCTTTTTTTATTTTATTTTTTTTACAATTGTATTAGTTGTCTTGTATCAATAGCACAACCAAGACAGCATTTTGTTTTATTGAAATTAATAGAATTGTTACTCACTTAAAAATACCATTTGTTGTGTTTTGCATACCGATATCAACATTCATGTTGGAAAGGTTTTGTATCTTCACGACTGTCAGTTGCCATATATACAACAATATTAATAAAGCGTCATTTCTGAATAATCATCCAATTTATAGATGGATAAAGACCAACAAAAACTTTAATAATGAATTTGCCATATTATATTAATTTATTGTGATAGTATTGTCTATTGTACTCAATGTTTGTACCTCTTCAAAAGAAAAAGTGTAGTGTGGTTTCAGGTCAAGGAAGAAAACCCTATTCGAAACATTTATATAAAAGTCTACTTTAATGCAATTTAGTTTTTTATAAAAATGTTTACAGAGGAAGTTTTTTAGAGGGCTTATGGTGAGAATAAACACACTGACAACATCAATAAGTGCATTACAGCACCGGCTCCCAACTCTGTTCTGAAACATCACACCGCATCATTTCCGGGTCCAAACGCACCTTCAAATCCCAAAATCAAACAAATCATGACGAGATCTCAGATGTGCAGACAGTAGTTATTAAAGCATTGCTGTCCGGCGGGCCGTGAGCCCAGAGGGTACAGGTCACAGGGGTCAATCTTTTTGCTGATTTGAAATGTTATTCTAATGTGAATTTGGCAGCAGTTGTTCAGATTTCAGGATTTTCCCATTGAAGTGGATACGAGTTGGTCTTGTTGCCCAGAGGAGTTGCAAACATGGCAGCAGAGTGAACAGATGAAATGGTACAGTATTCAACAAGTCACGACTTCACCAGCGGATTATGTACCATTAAACAAACACCAGGTCTAACGCTTAATGCTTCCACTACGGACAACCATTTTAAAACATATGGTCATTATAAGAAACAAAACCTAGAAATAACTTCTGTCTAGAGCGCAGCACTAGTTTGCAGTGTGAACCAGGCGTCGGAAAGTCAATGGCAGACATGAGGACACTGCAGTTGAAGCGGCAGCGAATGAGCTTTAGTGCTTCTTCACGCTGGAGCCTTTAACGTTGAGCTCTTGGTAACGGGGTTTGGCATTTCTGTGAACACAAAACAGTAAAGGAACATTTTTATATTAAACAGGACAAATCGCATTTCAGTGCAACCCTAGATTCTCTTTCAGATGTGACCTTTAACATTATGGTGTCATGTAATATGGCTGTGCATGTCTCAGCTGGTCAGCTCAGCTATTTAAGGAACATACTGGCACTCGTTCAGCACAGTGATACGAGCCACCCGCCCTTCGTGAATCACACCACCAACAGTGTCACAGTGTTTTATCCTAAAACTTGTCTGTTTTCAATCTTTAAAGGAGATTTTGAATTCAGTGTGGAGTCTTGGACAAATCCTTTTACTAATATTAAATTACTAACCTTGGACGATTAGCCAAGTCATCTAAAAGCCATACATTACTGTTATGAATTTTTCTAGGATTAAGGCGAGACACTACAGGTGAATAGGGTAATTTTTTTAACTAGCACATATCAGCATGAAACTTTCCCAGGTGATTACCTACATGAAGATGAGGCATCATCTAATTAAATGTGTACTAATTTGCATATATTTAAAAAAAAATGAAATCTGAGTATTGGATAAAGCCAGGTTCAAAATTATTGTGTTCATTGTGTTCACATATTAGATGAGAAAAAAAAATTATAGAGGGATTTATAGATATCTACTTTTGTATATCAGAATATACTGCCAATTGCCTTAAAAAATTATTTTCTCCATGTTTTTTGGAATAAAAATGTTATATAAATCATGCTAGGAACAATATATTTACAAATCCCTCTGGAAATGTCTTCATAATATAACTAGGTACAAGACAGGAAAGTTTGGTGTATATCGGTGCTACTGAAGTGGAGATTTCAGACTTGGAGTATATGAGAGAAAAGTCATTTTGAGAAAACTGGCTTTAAAGATTTAGCATCAGCCAATGAGATTGTGCATTTAGAGTTAAATCCCCCCGTTTACTTTCACGATTGGTTGCTGATAAAAAGGAAATGACCATATTTGGATCCGACAGCGTTGTACAGGAGAAAGAGAGCTTTCTAACGGTGTGTGCGATGACAGGGTGCAGATGTGATCGCTGAGCACCAGGATGATTTATAACGACAACTTTTGAAGAATTTATGAGAAATCTACAGACGCAAACAGACAAAGTGTAGTAAAATAAAGGCCTAAATGTGTATTTTGACTTTTTTTCACCATTAGTCTGAAAGAAGACATGTTATTGAAGACAAACATCCCAAAATCTCAAAATTGACCAGTGAAAAAAAAAGATGTTTTTGCCTGCAGTGTCTCGCCTTAAAGAAATTTTCTCACCCAAAAACTATAATGACTGGCTTCCTGCAACAGTTGTACGTGTGTCTCGTGAACGCCAGTGATTAAAGCTGATAAAGTTGTAAATATGGATCCTTTTCTTCGCTTCAGAAGGCCTTTATTAGCGCCTGGAGTCGTATGGATAACTGTTATGATGGACAGATGCGCAGCTACCATTCACTGCCATTATAAAGCTTGGAAGAGCAAGGATATTTTTCAACTCCAATTGTACTCGTCTGAGAGAAGAAAGTCATAAACACCTTGGATGGCTTGAGGGCGAGTAAATCATGGGCTAATTGTAATTTTTGGGCAAACTATGCCTTTAAAATGCCTCCAGATTAAACACACACAGCTCCCCTGATATGAAATGGCAGCAGCATCAGAAGTGTGTGTCGTGTGTGCCCATCTCTGACCTGTGTGTCTCCTGTGGTCCTGTGATGGCTGCTCGGTGTACGGCTCGATGTCTCGGGGCTTCCAGGCGGGACATGGGCGCAGACACATGGAATCTGGACACCTCACGCTGCCATTCCTCATCAAAGGACTGGGCCTCCGCTGAAGAGACCAAGGAAAGTCAATATTTTTCTTTACATTTTGTTTTAACTCTAATTTTTTCTGAGCATTTGCTTAAGAGTAGTAAAAGAACAGGCATCAATGCTTGCTTATCCTTCTTTACATGTTTACTTCGTCGCTTGTTTGTTTCTTTAAATCAGTCCTCACTTTCATCCATGTTCTGGAAGTCCTGGTTGAGTTCTTTCTCCCCGGTTTTCCTGTTCTCTTTCCTCTCGATGACGTGGCCTCTGTCCTGAATGTGATGGCCAATGGACATCTTTTCTTGTCCACTCGCCGAGTCCTTCAGACACTTCCTGGTCTCCTTTAGCTGAAAACACCATATATGACTTCCAAATGTTGCTCAACGGGTGTGTTTGGATGTTTGAGAGAGATTGAGAGCAGTACTCACTCCTCCGGGAGCGCAGCGGGTCTGAGATGAGGCCTGGAACACTTTCGGGGCCTCGTTTCCCATTTTAGAGTACGTCATGACAGAGGAGGAAGAAAACGAGTGGCTGTTGGAGTCTGACGCCATGTTTTCCTGAAAGAAACCGTTACAAAAACATCTGAGAAACTATCTACCAATAAATTCAGCCCAGTATTCATGTGTGACTGATTCATCAGTGTAATTACTGACCAGGTGTTCGTATGTGTGGTGAACGATACATTACATATGCACGACAAAATTACATTTTCATTTTAAATTTGATGAAAATATGATTAAAAAAAAGAATAGATTCTATTTAAATACATCACTTTTTTAATGTCACATGTTCCATGGTAAGTGAAAATCTTGAGAGCGTACAGAATACAATTAGACTTTACAATATATACACAATTTATATATTATAAATATACACAATTATACACATAATATAGCTGTGCAGTGATAAGTAGGTGATGGCAGAGTTGATTAATGTGTTAAAGTGCAGTGCAGTTACTGTGCGTTCACACCAGACGCGAATAGCACGTCAAATTCACGCCTACCGCATCTAGTTATATGCTTGAACACTTTGAATCCATTCGCGCGTCAAGAGCGGAATTGACAGCATCAGCCTGGATCAGCCTGTAATTGGTCAAAAAACATCACGTGAAAACATCACGTGATATCCAGAATGTCCGCTATCATCGAGCTAGCGGCAAAAATGACGGAATATTTATGAATTATGGACTTCAAGAGTATCAAAGTTTGACATAAAGCGTTTGGATTTATTGCTGAAAACCTCTGAAAGGAAGCACAAGTTCCAGGCTGGATAGAAAACCTTCTGTAAAGGCTAGAAAGACCCGAAAGACACCCCCGTGGTGGCTAGCTCGTTAGCTTTCTGCTGGAAAAAACGGTAAGAAAATCGATAAATCTGTCATCGAGTTATGTAAGCATTTATCGGAGGTGACGTGTGGCATCGTCGACGATGCCGTCGGGCTCAGGGGGTTAAAGAACTATATCAACTGTTAAACAACACATTAGAGATTAAAAAAATATCAGATTTGTCTAATTTTAATAAAACACAAAAATAGAGATGAAAAATTAACTTAAGTAAGAAATGTACTTTTGCTATGGTTAATGTTCAGTGATATCTTACAAAGATCTCTGAATTTTGGTGCAAATTTTTCTCTGTATAGTATTGAATTGGCAACTAGTAAATACACCTAGTTTCGTCATGCTAGCGTGTGGAAGTATTTAAAACAAGTGTGTTGAAACTAGCCCCGCGTTACGTTTTGTGCCCCTCACTCCCCTACAGTCAGGGTTAGGAAGGTTACTTTGAAAATGTAATTGCTCACTGTTATAAATTACCCATTATAAATGTGGTTTATATTAATTTATTTGGATTACTTTATCAATTTTTTAAGCAATTTCCTTTTAATTTGAAATCTTTCCCCCTAAAGATTTACTAAAGTAATTCTGGGAAATGGCCTTACAATTACAATAGATCAAACCTATTATTTGTTCTGTGTCTAGAGCTTTTAACATTCATTGCTGGGGGAAAGCATTGCTGGTAGTTCAAACTAATATAATTTATATAATATGCAATCATATCTGACATATATTGTAAAGCTACATTGTTAAACACTTCACTTAAAATATCTATATGAATTTCTTAGAATTTTTTATTGAATTGTAATTCTGCTTCCTTTAATTAAAATTCGAATTGTAATTCTAGATCCTGTTTTTGACATCAATTCAAATTCAAGAATTGAATAGGAATTTAGTAGTCATTCTCAATTCAATTCTGAATTGTGCACAAGCCAGTTCAAAATTAATCGAATTTTTAATCAATCAGGATAACTGAATTGCCAACAATTCCCATTCCTTCAGTTACTTTGAAAACCAGCTCATTATAAACCCCATTTTAAAAGAGCAGCATGTATCCACGACTTTACAAGTGTTTATTAAGTTGAATTGGTGGCAGAAGGTGCATATAAACTCGCTGACACTGTGGTTCATAGAGTATTGAAGACATGCTGGTACAATATGAGAACAGAGAGGTCAAACTTACAAAGTTTCTGTGCATCGCCTCCATCCTGTTCCTCATGCTGTCTATCATAGAGAAAGGATTGCCAAAGAAATCCAGCTCCTGTTGACATTTATCACACACATTTAGTGACACAGCAAAGAACAGATTCAACTACTGCCAGATGGCAGCAGATATTCAAAGGAAATGTACTTGAGTTTGTATCATCACTTAATTTCCCTACATAGTTTAAATAACATTTGTCATTTAAGGACAACGTTGTAAAATAACTTGTATTTTGAATTAAAATATTACACTAAAAGCTAACTGTGTGAAGCTGTGATGTTCACTGGCCTGTGTGAAGTTGCATGAAGTTGTGCTTTCAGACCTGAAATGCATTAGCAACTACTTCTGCAACTACCACACACCAGACTCTCTTTACATCATGGCCGCCACGTCAGTGTCTCGCCACATCATGGCCGCCACGTCAAAGTCTTGCCACGTTATGGCCACACGCCAGACACTCTTTACATCATGGCCGCCACGTCAGTGTCTTGTCACGTTATGGCCACACGCCAGACTTTCTCTAAGTTATGGCTGACACGTCATGGCCACACGCCAGAATCTCATCACGTTATGGCCGCCATACCGGAACCTCATCACGTCTCTTGTGTAGCTTTGTCGATGTAACCAACTGTCGAGTTTAATCAAGCCTGTTTCACGAGTTCACACTAACAAATAATCAGATAAAATAGTATGCATATTTGACATGCTGTCTGAGGAGAGGGCCCCAAGCTCGGTATTTTGGTCCGAACCCAGAGGACTCCCCCCCAAATTTCTTGTTTGGAAAGGAGACGGGGTGGTGGAGGGATGCTGAAAACTGTCGAGGAACATTGGTGTGTCAACTGTGTAGGCCTCCACTCATGCTGGTTGGGTAGACATGTTGATTACAGAATGCTGACTGCTGGATGGTATGACGTGATTAGATAGATCATTTGAACATGTTTATCCCAAACTTTGTTAATAAAACATAATTTATGTCAAGCTCTTATTTTAAAGTTTAAGTTTGCTCTTGTTTTTTGTTTTTATCTAATTCATGGTTTTCAATAAAACTGCTCATGGGTTCTCAACTTCAATTTGCCTTCCGTGGATAAATGTTACAATATGACTCAAGAAAAATTAAGCAATTTATTAATGATTAATGTAGCAGCAACTAATAAAGAGTCTTATCTGATTAATAGATTAATTCATTTATTAACTGTCATCATGGATTAATTCCCTATCCCTAGTAGTAGCCTAACTTAAATTAATGTGTTAATTACCACAATGGGTCAAAGGCATGTATTCCATCTGTTTTAATGAATCATTAGCCAAGATTTCCTTATATTATGACTTTACTTGTTGAGGCATAACTATTACCATTTTAATTGAAAATAACATGCAAGTAAGTGTCCAAAAACATTACTTAAAGTATATTAATATTAAGTAGTCTTTTAAAAAGTAAGTGTATTTCTTTTCCATAAGAGTTGTAACTTCATAAAAGTTATAACTAAATTAATGTTGTAACTTCAAAGTTTTACCATGTTTTTCCTGGAAACATTGATTCTACCATTGTTTAAATGTGATTTGCTTTATTTATTTTTGCAATAAAATAATGGAGCGTTTTTAAATTTTTAAATTGGGGGATGGGAATTCTTAATTATCAAGTGGGGGAAAAATAACAAAATATTTATAATTTTTCTTTTTTTTTCTGGCAGTTTTCATGAGAGTCACCTGTTTATGGCATCTATATGGAATGTGTGTGAAAACATGTTTTAATATTTCTGTAACTCATGGTGCTGAAAGCTCTGAATAAGTCCTAAAATTGGTAGCTGTCACCTCTGGTTATCGCATCTAATAATGGAGAAGCAGCTCGTGTTTCTCTGAACAGTTTAGGCCAGCATTGCCTAAGTTCCTTCTTATGGTCGAGTCGATTTAAAACCATCAACACTCCTCAAGCTATTAATGCCCCTGGAGAGGACGACACCACTATCTGCTCGCCGTTGGAGTGTATTTTTAAGTGCTTCAAAATTTGCTAGAGGCCAGGTCATGTACGCTATTTTAGGTCAGCTGTGTTTAGAAGACACCACCCTGAGGTCATGACCCATTTATGCTACATGCTATCACAGCAGAGGTCTCATATTGCAGGTCTTGTGTCTCATCTGGGCAGAAGGATTATTCAACAGATGCACTGGGAAAAACACTTTTGATGTAGCAAATGACCCACACAAGAGCGCTCTTGGAAGAGGACGCAGTTCTAGGAATAATCAGAACATCAGCAACGCTTTGGACGTGACCTTAACACTGTTTCTCAGGTTACTTAATGGACACATCGGTTACTAAACTGCACATGTGACTCATAAGCGGGTTCAAAATGTTGCCAAATGTGTAGGAGTATTTTAAATGATCAAATGATGATCACCATGTGAAGTAAGCAACCGAAAAGGAAAAGTCATAGCTCGCCTTTCTTCAGTGGAGCAAACCACTCTAGGTAACAGCCAACTAGTTTAGCTAACTGCAAGTTAGTTGGCAACATTTTGAACCAGCTTATGAGGGTCATGACCCATTTATGCTACATGCTATCATAGCAGAGGGTCTCGAGAGACTCGAGCACACAGTTCTGATTGCTGATTTCTGTGCTGATTTGTACTGCCAGTAGTCATGAAGCTTAAATATTCTCCCAGTGCTCAACAGAGCGCTATGCGTAGGGTGGCCAACTGTCCCGTATTAGCCGGGACGTCCCTAATATTGGGCCTAATTTGTCCCATACATGTCTTATTTATTGACTGCTACGCTGATCTAACCACTGACTAAGAGGCCGTTCACAAGTTAATTAACAGATGACACCCATCTTCCAGTTATTGGTCCACATTTCTTTTTCCTCTGCAAAGCACAGAACTGGATACGTCAACATGAATGAACAAACCCATTCAGTCTATTGCTTTTTTTTACCACCTCAGAACCATGGCAGGTCTGTCTCTCAAAAGTTTATAGTATATCATTTTTAACTGGAGGAAATATGATTTTCACTTCCAGAATCCAACTGTTGCTCTATATTGTGGCATCTATTGCAACCCAACTTTGGGCCGGTTCACATATCACGTCTTTTGTGCGCTCAAGTTCGTTATTTCAAATGTAGGCACGCGGTATGTGCGCTCATAATGGAAGCGATGCGGTCGCGGTGCGACGCGCTGGTTTTTTCCAAGCGCATGCGCATGCGTCGCGTCGATATAAAAACATCTCAACTTTTCAGAATACCGCAAGCGCACCATACGCACACAATAGGTCATGTGACAAGAACCAACTGAAGCGCAACCGCCCTGGCGCTTTGGAGAATGCGGCGCGCCCAGCGTTTTCTACGCGTTTTTAGGCGCTATATGTGAATCCGGCCTTTTACACCCCTAAACAGCACGTAACAACCCAACTATGATTGGTCACTGTACGAAGGTACTGTATGTTAGCTAGTCAGATGTTTTTCTCAAAATGGCAGTTTTTGGCAGCAAAGTAGACCAGATTTCATCCTGCTAGTCAATAGGGTTGGGTATCGTTTGAATTTGAACGATTCTGATTCCGATTCCGATTCCTTGTTTCGATTCCGGTTCCTAACGATTCTCGATTCCGATTCTTTTAAGAGGCAGGGTCAAAAAAGTTTAGCTAACCTTGCTAACCAACGGCCTTTCTGAAGGAAATACTCCTTCTGTAAAAATATTCCTTTTGTCACAAATTTTGCATTTTGCCGAGATTTCGTTATTTTTAGAAAAGTGAAGCCACACTTTGGACCGCCGACGTAAGGTACTCATGTTCGACTCGCGCGGTTATGCCAACACTTCCGGTAGACGCTTCTTCGTTGGTGTTGTTCAGCGGTTTCTTCTTCCGCTCGGCGGACTGTGAATATCGAAACTAGGAATCGAAATTTTAACTTTTGAACGATTCCGGGAAAAACGAAAAGTTATTCCCGATTCCAATCGATACTCGATTCTCGATACCCAACCCTACTAGTCAAACGTCTGGCTCCGCAGGTGCTAGCATGTAGGCTACCATCCATCCCTGACCCAAACAACCCAAACCTCATCTAAAAGCCCTGACCCGTGGGTGAGCATGCTATCTTTACCGCCTCTCGCTGCGTTTACACGGGCATCAGATGAAAGAAATTACCCAAGATAAATATACTGAGCAGAGAGAGGTGGGGAATTACAGATGGACAGGGGGACTAAGTTTAGCTGTCTGAGCTGCCAAAGTGGCCAGCTGGTCTGTGACACGCTGTCCCCCGCGGGCAGGCTGTTAGCATACAGCAAGACAACAACTTAAAGCAGCATTTAGTTAAAGGTTAGTGTTAGACTCCTTTATCAAGAAGATTTTTTTATATTTGGCTAGCAATAAAGCATCACTTGCCCATAGTTAGTGATCTGAACAGTCCCCTAACCTTGGGCAACTTGAGAAAGTGTGGTGTGTAACTCATCCCGCGTCACTGTTGTTGTTTGTTTTTTACTACAAACATTCCTCAGATTATGTGTGTGGCTGAGGAGAGCGAAGTGAATCAGACACACCGTTTTGACCTGCTGGACCAGAACACAGCTGAAAATATCCCACAGGGACCCGAGCCACATCTAGACTTGAGCAAGTAAAGGCTGTGACACACCAAACTGACATAAAAGAGCTATCATGACAAAAGATGACTGTGTTGAAGCCTTTCTGCACCTGCGTGTCAGTAAATATCCTAAACACCAGTGTGAATATTTTTATTTTTGTATTTCAAATAGAGCCATTTAATAGGCTTCTCCTAGGCTTACGTTGTTAAATTACAAAGGGCCTACTGATGTTTTAGTCATTCTATTTTCAATATTATAGGCTATTATTTGTGCATAAACATACCGTTTGTTTGAAAAAACAAACATATTTTGTTATCCTTGCTGCAAGCTTACAAGAGCGATATCATTAAATGTGAAGGGGGGCCCTAAAATATTTTCTTGGGAAAAAGGGGGTCACAGACAAAAAAAGGTTGGGAACCACTGCTGTATATGATAGTCATGAGCATCTAGAATGGGAAACTCCCAACTTTACTAGCCACATCTAAAAGCCATTCTGGGGTTAATGGGATCAACAATAATGGACAACACCACAGGCTGAAGAATGGAGAATAAGTTGACACTCACGTGGCCAGTGCGAGTGTTTCGGTTGGTGTTAGGTTGACCCGCGCCCCTGTCTGTGATGCTGGGCATGAAGCCCTGGCCGAAGGGGTCAGAGAAACCCCTCATCATCTGCCGCATGCGCTCATGATGCACCTGGAACAGGTCGCTGGCGAAGGACATCACACAGAAGATTAGATCAGTAAACCATGCTTTGACAGTGGATCTCAACCAGTGGGTCGTGACTCGTGACAACAGGGGCCAGTTGCATAAACCTCTCTGTTAAAGTCCAGCTTTTACTTATGTGGTGTGTGTAATACGCTTTAAGACAAGCCATGTGTAAATTCATAAGTCAACAGCATTGCTGAGTATTTTCTGCTTAAAACTGAAAAACTCGGTTTGAAATCGCTGGTGTTTATGACGTCACAAACAACCTTGTAACCAATCAGATCAATGTGTGATCGTCAACCAGTGGATCTCTGAGTGAGGGAGTGGAGGCAGGGCTCATTTGCATATAGAACCGCACATACCAAATGAGGCACAGATATTTAAGGATTTTTTTTTTGTAAATTTGGAGAACAAAAGTTACTGAGTTTTAAGCCATACATTTATTTACTACAGGATGACTTTAAGATTGTGTCTGAAGGACTAGCTTTACAAACTATCTTTGGCAAGAGGTGTCCTAATTTTCCAAGTCAAATTAGACCAATCAACCCTTTTATGTAACTGACTTAAGTACTAGTACCAGAGTTGAAGATAAAATGTAGATGACTAACTTTTAAGACTAGTTTAACTGGTTTATGCAACTGCCACTGATGTCAACATGGACATGACAAGTGTGACATGCTCTCAAAAACTATGAACCAAAGAAACACAATAAGACTACTTTAAAGGGGTCATATGATGCGATCTCTTGTTTTCATTTTTCTTTAATGTGTTATGCTTGTGCATGCATAAGATCTGCAGAGTTACAAAGCTCACAGTCTCAAACCAAGGAGTGAAGAACAAAGCTTTGTTTACAAAAGAAATAATAGGTTAGCAATTAGGCTAAATGTTACATCGCGGACATGAAAACCTCTGGATCTGTGGAGAATGAGAGATGTGCGAGAGCCCATAAATGTAAGCGTTGTTGGCTTTGTATTGTGTTTAGCGATGTCGTCTCCCGATTATCAGCGAATTTAACTATATCCCATTAGTTATTCCACTGAACATGCAATCTCTGGTTTCTTTTCCCAGATGTTCACTCACATTGTCGCAGGGGATTATAAACGTTTCTTGGTTTGGTTCTCTTCTAAGTAGGCCTATTATATTCGCATCCTTTACTGTGGTAAAGTAGAGCACACTGTAGGACAGATAGCCTAGCTTTTTACTTGTCAAGTTTATTTGTAAAGTGTGTTTGACACACGCGGGTGATTTTAGTTTGGCTTTCTCTGGCAGCGCAAAACCAAGCATAGCTTAACTGTCTTGGCCTTGTGGAGGATCAGTGGAGGAGGAGCAACAATAATGTACAGTACGTGTAAAATAATGACTTTTAACCAAAAACCACTTTGCATTAAACCAAATACACAGAATAATGTCCTTCTTAAAACCATCATATGACCCTTTTAAACCCAGCTTTACTTGCAGTGAGGATAAAGAAGTGGTCCATTCGCCCATTGAGACTGTGCCATGCTTATAATTTCCCAAACTGTTGTGCCAGTGTAGTTTATGGTAATACTACTAGACTTTAATGTTAGTCTCAAAGACATGTGTGTTAACAGTCACAGTGCGTCGCATGCATCGGGGACACGAGTGCCTACCTTGAGGAGCTATTTTAGAACGGAAAGAAGAGAGACAAGAAACATCATTGCACTTTCTATTTACAGCATAATGGCATAAAGTGGCTTCCTAACCAAGACCTCGGACAGATCTGAGATCACATTAAACACTAACTCATATGAAAGGGCACAGTAATTATAGGTGTGGGCTAGACTTTATTTGAAGGTGTCCTTATACAGTGTAAATATACATTAAGTACTATGTATTATTAATTAACTACTTGTACTTACTATGGGTTTAGGGTTAGGTGTGTGTAACAATTACAATGTATGCTCAAGTTATTAGAAACTATAGTAAAACGGTTTGTAGTCAAACAAACGTCAATGGCTACTGTCAACTGTTTGTTAACAATATTCTTCACAATATCTTTGTCTGTGTTCAGTAGAATAAAGAAACTTGTAAGCACATGAGGCTGAGTATTTTTGGGTGGACTAACGTTATCCCTTTAACTAAGGAGCGAAAAATTATTGCACTATTAACGTTAAAGAGCAAATTTACAGAGCAAACAGTGTAAACTAACTTATATCAGTCAGCATACAGATCATCTTCTAAACCATAAAACACTTAGTAAACCAAGCACTACTAATGAAATTAAAACTATATATATTTTGAATTATGAGGATTTTGAATCATGACTCACTGAACCTAATTTACAAATAGCTCATAATTTGCTGATTTCGAAATTATTCCAAAATGAGGTCTCACACAATTACAATGTAATATTTTCACATTTCTAAATAAAGAAAACAAGATATTGAAAATAAAAGTTCATAAGACTTACGAAAAGAAAGGGTCTTCGTCGAACTGGAGTCTGTTGAACATGTTGCCGTTGAACTGAACTGAGGCAGTCAGACCGTTGCTGTTGCTATCGAGACCCACGCGCTGAGGCGGAGAGAGCACGTGACCCACTCTGAGCCCTGCGATTGGCTGAGTCCTGAACTCCTCTTCACTACAAGCATACATAAATCCGATTTCTCTGCCATTGCCATGCACATACTTGCTTCCCCTGCATATAATGTTTTATTATTGTTTATTACATATATGTATTGCACTGTTCTTTCACTCATATACTGTACACGTATAGTGTAAACCATGTATATTGCATATGTATATTGGTTTTTGGAGTAACTGAAATGCTACTTTGATCTGTAAAGTAACTAAAACTACAATAGAGGTCATCTGTTAGTTAACATTATGCATTATATCTGTACAGAAATGCATCAGGTGTCCTGCAGATGAAGATTGGCAGTGTCTCGCAGTTATTCTCATGTCTAAAGCAGGTGTGTGTGTGTGTGTGTGAGAACATCCAAGCCAGAGAGAGACCCGATCCTCAGACATCTGTCAGACGGAGAGGCCTGGCGTTTCTCACAGCACACACTTTCTGTCAATAACATACCAGCGCACAGACATGCAGTGTGATGTGTCTGCATACATGACCCACAAAACAAAGGCTCACTCGTACTCTGTGTGCTGTAATTCAATGCCAGTGCTTTGAGCCACATGATCTTTCTTTAATGCGGGTATGTTGAATATTATTGAATAATAGATTGATCTACAATCAGCATTATTGAGCTGGACAGACTCTCTCCACAGTAACATTTATGCTAACAGGAGAATATGGCAATAGCAGAGACACGACACACACTTTCCAGCATCTTCCACACACGACACACACTTTCCAGCATTTTCCAGCATGTCCACTGTTTAGAGGAACGAGGCCATCTAGTGACTCCAGTCTGAACACACAGGCTGTGTCTCAAATCCTCCATACCCTGAAATAGGGCACTGTTTAAAGGGATAGTTCACTTTGAAATACATTTCTTATATGTTTTAGCTTTCCTCAAGGGCATCCAAGATAGGTAGATGTCTTTGTTTCGACAGTATTTTCAATTTTGACATTTTTAGGTCAAACCATTTTGTCTGTCAGTCATGTAAAGCAGGTACTTACAATATAAAGCAGGTACTAACTGTACTTACAATGTGTACTTACATTGACTCGTAAATGTAAGTACACATTGAGGGCCTAAGACATGACATGAGCGATTTTTGTGAAAAAACAAACAGTATTTATATAGTTTTTTACCTCTTGTTACCACAGCCACATCCAACTGATCTAACTAAATTAATAATAATAATTAATCCGACACTCCCGGTTTGTAACGTGCTTTTGTTATAGTTCTGTCTGGTGTGAGCACATGGCTTGTCATGCGTTTACTTGTGTCATGTGCTCGGCTGTCGATTGTCTAGCCCCTCCCACTTTGTTACCTAATTAGTGAATCATTTACCCCACCTGTCCACCTCATTACCCTCTTTTGTTTGCTTCCCTGTGTTTGCAGTTCGTCACTGTATGTATCCTCGTGTTTCTGGTTTTCCTGCCAAAGGCAAGGTTTGAGATGCCTGTCTTTAGTTTTGTTTTATTTTACCACTTAATTAAAGATCCTTCATTTCCTGCTCTTGAACTTACTTCACCTTTATTATATCATGACAAAACTAGTCCCGTCCCAATCAATCAATCAATCAAATTGTATTTGTTGTGTGCCTTAGATAAAAGGTGCACAAGGCTCTCCAGTAAAACATCAACAATATATAAAAACATAAGTGTACATAAAGCAATTGAATCGAGACAGAAGCTACATGTTAAAAGCTTGTCTAAATAGATGTGTTTTCAACTGCGATTTAAAAGTACTCAATGTAGTAATACTTTAAATGACCGACCTCCAAACTTCTTATATTTGAACTTGGGTGTCACCAAAAAGAGGTGTATTCAGAGGAGCGCAGGGTTCTGGCTGGTTGATAGACCGTTAATAGTTCTGCGAGGTAGGCCGGGGCCATACCATTGATGGCCTTGAACACGAACAGCAGAACCTTATCCTCCACCCTAAACCGCACCGGAAGGCAGTGGAGCGAGAGATTATGTCTGTGAGTGGACATAAGTGTAAAAGTTCACTACAGAGCTACTGGAGGCCAAACTAAAGAGGAGGTTAAATATCACCACAGTGGAGCCGATTGAAATGAGTCAAATATTTAATGCGTGCGCAATAAACGGAGATGTTCAAATAAATTTAAATAAACAACAATCAATAAAGTATTTCTTGTTAGGCAGCATTTTAGCAACTAAATTAATAACTAGATTAAAGACCTAACTGTTATCAAAATATGTGCCCTTGTGTTTTTATTTTTATTTTATTTGTTATTTTGCTGAGAGATAAGCTATGCCTTTTATGTGTGAGGAAATTTCACAAATTTTGTGTTGTAAAAAAATAAAAGAATGAGACAAAGTTTGAGAATGGTTTGTTGTTTTTATTTGAGCTTTCCTGCATATTACACATCGTTGTTGTTCACAGTCAGGGACTATATTTTTCTAGCGGAAGGAATGTTTTTATTGATTTAACTACATGAATAAATTATTTTTTACTTTAATATTGTGTGGCAACCTTTTTAAAAAAGCAATACGGTACTCGAGGCAAGTGCTGTATCGAATAAGTAAAGGCTGAAGGGGTTGCAACAACGCCCTTCAGCCGTCACTTATTCACGATACAGCACAGCCTCTCGTACCTTATTGCTGACATAATACGACCAATTTTGTGAGTTTGTGTCTTCGGTCTATATTTTGTTTGGTTTACATCTGTATGTCAGTTCTTCAGCTTCTCCAAAGAGCTGAGACGGGGTCTAGTGTCCGTGTTTTCCTTCCCACGAGGAGCTCGGCCGGACTGTGGCCATTGGCCAGAGGAGATGCTCGTGAGCCGTACGTGCGAGGTAGGGATCACTTGACTTTCAGAAGAGGTTCTTGATTGGTCTTCACAGCTCACTCCGCCTCTCCGTCGCGCTGCGGAAAATGAGGAATCGCTGACGCATGGTTGAAACACTCTGAAGCAAATTGTGGCCCATTGTCTGAGCACACCACCTATGGCAGGGTTCCTCAATTAATTTTTACCAAGGGCCAAATTCTGCTGACAATACAGAGCCAAGGGCCACCAACCACAATGTTATGACCTCAAAGTTTTCTCTGCTATTTTTGTTGTTGTTGTTTTGTTAAAAAGAGTCACAAATCACCACATAGCCCAATTATTCTATTTTTATTTATTTTTATGTATTATTTTCTTTTTCAAACGAGTCTGTTTTATTCAAGAAATTTTGAGCAGATGTTAAAATGGCGTTTGATATTGTCAGACTCTGCGTGCATAGCAAACACGTTGGCTTTGTGTTGTGGTGGTCAGGCAAAATAAAACAAAATTGTTCAGTCCATTCAGATTTGAATCATCTGTTTGCTGTGTCCACTTTTCTTTTCTTCGCACTTGCCATATTTCCGTTGCGCGCGAATGCCTAGATACTTTTTTTTGAAATTTTGCTTACACTGATGTTACCATGACAACCTGGAAATGAGCGCGGGCCAAACATTTTCCTTTCGCGGGCCGGATGTGGCCCGCGGGCCGCCTATTGAGGAACCCTGACCTATGGGAATCCAACACATGCAAAGATGGATTTGATGTGTTCAACTACAGCTTTAAGGAGACGACTTTAATCTCGAATTGATACGACTTTATTTGCGTAATATTAAATTTATTCTCGAAATATTACGACTTTAATCTCGTAACCTTATATTTATATATTTACTTATTTACTTATATATTATACTTATTTTATTATTTTATGCCACTGGTGAAAGGATCCTAAATTCACCCCTTGCCTGATCTTTCCCCGTAGAAGCATGAGCTAGCCTTGAATTTCATTAATGCAACGCAAATTTGAACTGTCATCATCTGTGTGCTCATTCACATTAGCATCTTCTGACTACATTGACAATTTAAAGTGTTCACATTTCTGCAAAGATATTTTAGAAAGACTTTGTTGGGTTTTCATTTTAATCCGCCTGTGCCATTCTTGTCTCATCATTTACTGATGGTGGATCCATGTGTATTTGCCATCAATGAGGAAAGAGCATAAAACTGCCTGAACTGATTAAAACTGGTTTATTCTGTTCAACAAAAGCAAAACAATGCTCGGTCTACTCTACTGGTAGTCCTGATTTGTATTCAAGCAAAATGAACCAAAAAAGTATTTTACTTAGAAATATAAATATATATTAAGTGTATTTTAGTTATATAAATATAATGCATTGTTTAACAATTCTAGATATGTTTTTGTTTCCTCAAACTTGTAGCAATTCCATTAATAAGCTGACACTGACCGCCCAAATAAAAGGGCTTTTCACAGGAAGAGGAGACAGTGAGGGCAAGATAACTGGAAGGGAAACAAAAACTGCTGTGGTTTCTGATAATGAAGCACACTTAAGGTCACACTTAAATAACCCTGTCAATGTTGGTACATCACAAAATTGTACTATAACAGTTTCAGTGACAGTTTCTAATAAGATCATTAATTGAGCAATGCCCAGATAGCAAACTGACATTGAATCAACGTGGAAACGACGTCTCTCATGACATTGAAACAACGTTGATTTTGCTCATAGAATTAACGTTGAACCAACGTCAGACGCGGCATTCTTCAAAGCTAAATGAAAATCGAAAATTGGTTTGCTTTCATAACGTTGAAACAACGCGTTGATTTCAAGTTGATTTTCCGTTAGTTTTGAAAGAATGACGCGTCTGACGTTGGTTCAACGTTAATTCGATGAGCAAAACAATGTCAGATCAACGTTGTTTCGATGTCATATTTCCACGTTGATTCAATGTCAGTTTGCTATCTGGGTGAGCAATACGTTTGTCGCATGATTTAACCAGTGTTTACTATGGAAACTTACCAAACTAATCAAACTTTCTTTTTACTTTTTAACAGTTTTATTGCAAGAAAGACAAGGTGGTACTGGTAAGATAAGGGAGTCTTTTTAATTGAGTAATTTCTGCTCCCCCATACACTGCTAAAAAAACAATTCCAATGAAAATATCCACATCTTTAAAACAAGTTAATCGACACTTTTAGATATTTGTGCAGGACAAAATGACTGATTAAGAAAATTATTTTGCAGTGTATTTTCATGGACCCTTAAACTTCATAACAGCCATAGGTTGAAGAGTGTTAATGAAAACCTAAATATGTATTTGTGTCATGGCCTCTGGCCTCTGAGTGGCATCTCCATTCTGGTGGAGGTCTCAGTCAGAGACCCGTGTGGGAGCGGACGGCGGCTCAGTGTGGCAGTGAGCTTCTTGCGGAAGACACGACACAGAAACACATAGATGAGAGGGTCCAGGCACACGTTAGTAGATGATATCCAGAGTGTGATCTCTTTGGCAAAGTACAGCTGGTTTTGGGCCCAGCACTGGGCAGAAGTATTACGGGTCTGACTGAGGGTGTAAGGGATTCGGGCCAGGTGGAAGGGTGCAAAGCATACAAAGAAAACTCCCACTACCACAAACACCTGTGGAGGAGAGGAGAGTTTAGCGCTGGTTAGCATGCAGCACACCAGAAACCAGAGCTTGACATATAAAGAATTCAATTCAACTACAGTGAGCTTCTTTTGTTTGGGGGGGGGGGGGGGGGGGGGAGTTAGTACAAACTATTCATAACACTGACTACATTTACATGCAGTCAATAACCCATTCAAAACCAGGATATTAGCAATAACCGGGTCGCGAATGGCCATGTAAACACCGGCAAAAACCCGAATATGCTCATATCCCGGATTTTAAAAACCGGGATATTATACCTGGGGTACCCCTTTTCTAACCCGAATTTTTGGTCATGTAAGCGCGTATCGGCATATCCCCATAGTGATTTGTGTTCTGCGCATGTTCTATTCTTGGTATTTTGCGTAGAGAAACTTCTCGGCGCATACAAAAATTAGCGTGCAGTATACCGGAAGTAAACATGGCGAGACGCAGCACAGCATACTTTTGGAGCGAAGTCAGTAACGTTACCAGCGTGAAAGCGCAAACATAGGCGATCGCTATCTGCCCCGAACTATTCATTATCCGCGTGCTGCTGTTGTTGTTGTCTTTGGATACAGGAAGAAGAATCGTCAATGATGCATATTGCGTCTTAAAGTTGTCCGTACATCTAGACGCTAACCGCGCGTTGCCGTTTACATCGGGATATTGCAATTCCATGTATACAGGAGAAACTCTCTGCTCATGTAAACGGGTTATTCCTAATGTTTCAGAAACCCGAATAGTGACCTTATCCCGACCATAACCCGAAAATTGGCTGCATGTAAACATAGTCACTGCTAACTACACTGAATACTTAAGTATATTGTGTACAACCATTCATAGTAACCAATGGGCACTGGTCTTTACTGCTGTAAAATCCACTTTAGATAAACCTGGAGCAACTAGATCAGGGTGATCATGATAAATTTCTGACCTTGTCAGAACATTAACAGAGGCTATCTTTGGTCATAAGACCATCTTTAAAGAATGGGGTGGATCAGGGTTGGGCAATTCTGGTCCTTGGTATCCACTTTCCTGCAGAGTTAATAGGCTTGTTTGACTTGAACTGACGCTACAGAGTCCGATTCACCACAAGAGCGATTAGAGATCAGACGGCTCCGTATGCTTTTGAATCACTCTCTCGGTACTTTGATGTCATAACCAAATCTGTGCTGCGCCGCTTCAAGTCGAACAAGCCTATTAATCCCAACCCTAATCAAATACACCTGAACAAGCAAATCAATATATTCAGGATCACTAGAAGTTATTGGCAGTTGAGTTTGATCAAGATTGGAGCTACTCTTTGCAGGAAAGTGGGTCTTGTGGGGTCTGAGTTGCGCAGCCCTGTACTAGACAGTACACAAGTTCAGACGCAGCTTATGTTTCTATTAATCAATATCATTTCCGATTATTTGGAATTGTGTTTCCCATCCCTCATCCTGGAGGCACACCAGGCAGGACACATTTTCTAACTCCTCCTAATCAAACACTAACTCATTGTTAGAGAGTTCAAGACTGAAATGGATGGGTCAGATATGGTAGAAATCCAAAATGTGCACTGTTGGTGTGCGTCCAGGAACAAAATTGGGAAACACTGCCCTGAATTTCCAAATGTCTACGATCTGCATCTTCACAGAACTTAAGTGTCTGCACTCTCAGGGTTGCATAAGGGAGGTTGAAGAAAGTGCACTATACCTTAGATGTGGTCTGTTTACTGGCCGCCTCACTGCTGCTTTGTGATGCCCGGTACGATTCAAACACTTTCCTGCTGATGAAGGTGTAGCAGACAACCATGAGCGCCAACGTACCCCAAAAAACAATCTGGCAGAAGTAGTTAAAACCTTCATGCCACATGAGTCCCATCACCCCCTTCATCCTGGTGCATCGCAGCCTTCCACCAGCGGAGATCTGTGGCATTTGGTTACTCAGGATGACGTTGGGCAAAGCCAATGAAAGCATAACCACCCAGATAACTGCACACAGGATCCGACCCACCCCGACCCTCTGAAAAGCACATTTCCCGAATGGATGCACAATCTTTAGGTATCGGTCCAAGCTAATGAATCCGAGAAGAAGGATGCTGATGTACATAGTGGTATAGAAGAGTACAGCTGAGTATCGGCAATGAAAAGCCCGGAGGTGCCAGGAACCCAACCCTGCATCAGTCAATGCCTTTACAGGCACGGTAAGGGTCATCAATAGATCAGCCATGACTACGTTCTTCAGGTACACAACGAATGTTGAGCTGCTGCGGATTTGGAAGAAGATCCAGGCGGCCAGAGTGTTCAACACAAAAGCAGCCAGGAAAAGAGCAGTGTACAGACAAGGGAAGAGTATGGACGTTACGCTAGTGTCCCGATCACACTTGAGTGAAGTGTTCACCTGACTCGCGTTCATCTTGCTGCCTGGAAGGAAAAACATCAAAAGAGCTGAACGCAGTATTGGAAAAGTCAAGTAATATCCACTTTCTGCTATAAAGAGAAAACTTTACCAATATAATGGTGTAAATATTCATGATCACTGGAGGAATACATAAGTTATGATGAGACAAACTAAAGCCGTGTTTCCACCGAAATTACCCGGAACAGTTTGTCCCAGAAACTCCCAGCCCCCCCAGACCGGTCGCCGTCTGCATTTCCACCACGGTCTAAAGTACCGTGAAGAATAGGCAAATTAGTCCAATGATTTAGGACTGCGCGTTAATTAACAGTTCCCACTGGATTTCATACTTTGAATGTAAGACTTTAAAGCCTGAGCCTCGTTGTCAGTCAATTGGTCGTATTTTTCAAACTTCATTGTTGATTCGAATAGCAAACAACTGTTATTGGACACACCGCAACAGATTTAAAAAATGGTGGTTGAAATAAAATGCAGCACAAACTCAACCAAGACCCACCCCTGAAAGTTCCTGAAAGTTGAAAAAGTACTACTTCGCAAGCAGGGACCTTCGGAGGGGGGGATATTTACCCGGAACTTCATTTAGACCCTTGTTCCTGCGGTGGAAACACAAAGTACCACCCCAAAGTCCCTAATTCCTGGGAAAAAGTTCCTGCGGTGGAAATGCGGCAAAATACACCAACAATTTACCCTGAACTTTACAAAGGATCTCCTGTTTAGTTCTATTGAAACCCCATTTCTGAAACATGCAAACAGAAGCAGGAAAAATTCACGGAAATAACAAATAACAATTCCAATCTATATCATTATGCTTATAATGACAATCAATTTAACACACTAAAATTAATTTGGGGGAATAGGGGAAACAGACACAGACTTACACACTTAAAAAGTTAAAATATATGTATGCAAGAGCAAACACTTACCAGGAAAATTGTTTGGGAGAAGAGTTTTGGAGACTTGTAAGCAAAGCTCAAAGAGGAATCAATAAATGTCTTAATGCCTTCCGCAAGCTGTATCCACAGTGAAGTGTGTCTGCGCTTTTAGCCACACACACATACATACAGAGAGAGAGAGAGAGAGAGAGAGAGAGAGAGAGAGATACTTTTTGACAGTGTAGATATATCGTTATATAAAACCAATACTAGAGACTAATACCCATTCTAACTGTACCCTAAACACTTTTGACATGTTAAGTACAGTATATATTTATACGTTATTGGATATTGTTAAAATGATATGCTGTATTTGTTTTTGTTTGTGTGTTTGTCTCCCCAAATGAGGAAATCCCCGGATGTCACCCATGGGAAGCTTTTGTCAGATTTAGCTCACTGCTGGGGACATTTCTGTGCTAAGTATGTAGATAAACACATACACAGTTATGCACACACACATTTTTCACATGGCTGCATAGAGGATTTTTCTCATCATAGTAAGTCTAACGGGAAAGTCAGTTACTCTTCCTGTCTAGCTTCCTGTTTGGCTGCAATGGGCTGCCCATCATGTGGTGTGGTGAAACTTTGTTATTCACTCCTAGAAAAAAAGCATCCATATTAATTTATACATAAAGTTGGTAACATGTCAAATAGATATTTAGCCTCTTTGCAAAAGGACACAGTGAGAGGAAACAGGAAGCAATTGTCAAACATACACTCGCACACGATGATAGTGAACCCAATCGCAGCTATATTGAAGGTTGTTTGTACAATGGAAACAGGTAAATAACAGACTAGTCGTGTCCCAAAATGAAGGCTGCGCACTTCGAAGGACACATTTGAAGGCCAAAGTAGACATTGGGCATGGTCAGAAACAATGCTCAGGTAGGCCGTGGCATTTAAACGATGCCCAATTGGCACTAAGGGGCCTAAATTGTGCCAAGAAAACATCCCCACACCATTACACCACCACCAGCAGCCTGCACAGTGGGAACAAGGCATGATGGATCCATGTTCTCATTCTGTTTACGCCAAATTCTGACTCTACCATCTGAAATCGAGACTCATCAAACCAGGCAACATTTTTCCAGTCTTCAACTGCCCAGTTTTGGTGAGCTCTTGCAGATTGTCGCCTCTTTCTCCTATGTGTAGTGGAGATGAGTGGTACCCGGTGGGGTCTTCTGCTGTTGTAGCCCATCCGCTTCAAGGTTGTGTGTGTTGTGTCTTCTTCACAAATGCTTTGCTGCATACCTCGGTTGTAACGAGTGGTTATTTCAGTCAAAGTTGCTCTTCTATCAGCTTGAATCAGTCGGCCCATTCTCCTCTGACCTCTCGTATCAACAAGGCATTTTGGCCCACAGGACTGCCATCGCATACTGGATGATTTTCCCTTTTCACTCCATTCTTTGTAAACCCTAGAAATGGTTGTGCGTTATAATCCCAGTAACTGAGCAGATTGTGAAATACTCAGACCGGCCCGTCTGGCACCAACAACCATGCCATGCTCAAAATTGCTTAACACTATATGACCCCAATCGACTTTTCCTTAATAAAAAAAAAAAATGGTTTCCTTTATCTGAGTGGAATAAGATTTTGTGACTTTTCCTACATAATCTATCTATACACACACAAAAAAAAACTGGGCTTGATTCGGTTGTTCTAAAGGGGTGTAAAAAAATGTTTTACAAATCTGGTCTTCGGGGTCAATATGACCCCACATTGAAATGAATGGGAAATGTGAAAAAAACTAAATATTTTTTATTCATTTGTCCAAAAACAAATATAAATCCATCATAAATCAGAAAATTTCCACACAGACATGAAGGCCTACTACTAGAGTATAAATGTGATGTAGAAAAGACATGCTCACTCACTCACACACACACACACACACAAAAAAACACACACAAACAAACATGTATGAGTGTACTGCCACAGAGAGCATTTTTTCACACAAATGAAAAATTCACAAATGAAATCAGTCACAAATGCAGAACAAAGATATTAAAGTGTGAGACCTAATACACACACTCACACACTGATTATAGTTTTAAAATTTGTTTTACATGTTTTTTGTAGCTTGTTATTGCTTTTTAAGTTCAGAATATTATTGGAAAAAATGTTAGATTAGATGTTCACTCATATTGCTTTTGTTTTCATATTATTTATTTTATTTATTTTGCATTCTAAAGTTAATTATTTATTTTTACACTTTGTTCAATAAAATCAACAATGTGCAACTAAAATCTGACTCCAAGTCTTGTCCTTTAGGTGTGTCTTATGTGGCATTTAGGTGTCCTTTTTCTGTGGCACTTTGTAAAAACAGACGTTTCAAAATGCATCAAAAACTACAACAATTATACTATTTAAAAAATTTATTATTTTAAATGTCCTTTCTTATGTTTATATATATATAAAAATTCATAAAATGTATTTCAAAAGTTGTGACAGAAGTAGTAGGCCACATGCAGTAAAATGAATGGCTCTCTATTGCCTCTGCTGGTCAAAACTATTTACTTCTAAAACTGTAAAGAACTTAGTTTTATCTCTAACCAGTAGATGGCGTAATTCTACACATAACACCTAGCTCAATATCCAGAAGCAATTTAAATTAAATTTTGATCATTATTTAAGTGATTTTTTCATAAAAAATTAAGATTTCATATGCAGGTTTATGGTGTGGTTGAGGAATTGTGTTGTAAATAGGTACAAAAGTACTTCTTATCTCCCAAAACACATCATTAATGAATAGATGAGAAGTAAACAAAAAAAAAACATATATTATTTGTATTATTAAAAATGTATAGTTTTTGTACAATTTCTCTATCAATTGTTGGGGTCATATTGACCCCAAAGACCAGATTTGTAAACAGGAAACGAAGACCTTTTGAGGGTTAAATTACCTTTCTTTCCCATTCGACATTCAGTTTGGAGTTCAGGAGATTGTCTTGACCAGGACCACACCCCTAAATGCATTGAAGCAACAGCCATGGGATTGGTTGATTATATAATTTCATTAACAGTATAATTTCATTGAACAGGTGTTCCTAATAATCCTTTAGGTGAGTGTATATTGACCACTGCAGTCTCTGGGTCAGTAGCTACGTTTACATGGACACAATAGGAATGAAATCAATACGATTGATGAATCCGATCAAGGTGTTTACATGAATGATAAATAAAGTGATCGGGTTGATGTGCGCCTTTATATGTCACAAGATTCAAATCGGAATTGATTCTTTGACATGCGCACACTGCACGAATATGCCACTGTTTTTAGTCTGATTGAGCCGTCAATCCGATTATAAGGGTCCATGTAAACGCATCTAGTGACACACCAAACAGATTTGATATTGCGGTGTGGAGTTTGTCATTTAGGGATAAGATCGTGTGGGTGTATGAATCGAGATCTTTTAAAGATGAATCGTGCAGCTCTACTGTCTTTATACTCGCTCTCTGCGTTGATATCTGACACAAAACGTATGTGAGTAGCAAGGGCTTTTCAGAATTCATTACTATTTTTATATTCATGAGAATATTCAGATTCTTAAAGATTAAGCTCCCAGCACTTCACCCACACATCGCACCAGAACCGTTTTCGGAAACGAAACTTAGGAATTTCGCATTTCGATTTCAGTTCCCAACCCTAATCATACTGCATCTGGGCATTTTAGTAGTGTTTTGTCAATTCCAATATTGAGTGATTTGCCATTATTGTAATACAGTATTGCAGATGTGCTTAAGCGTGACTTTAACAAGCAACTGTAGGATTTTTATTCCCCTTTTGTTTTCCTTAATTTCCTTCCTGTCTTGACTAAAAGCTGCAAATAGATCCTTGCCTTATGTCATCCCTAGAGATCCCAAGATTTTCTTGCTAGGTCTACTACCTGGTGAGGTGGTCCAAAAAGATGACATTTATCTTTTTAAAATTCTAATGATTGCATGTAAAAAGGCTATCACTCGGTCTTGGATAAAGATCAACCCACCCCGTATTGAGCAATGGAAAGAAATAGTGGAGGAGATACACTCAATGGAGAAAATGACATATTTTCTACGAATCCAAGGTCACATATATAATAAGCATTGGGAAAAATGGCTTGCATATAAAGAAGTGGAACAATTCTAACACTTTAATTGTAATACTTTATTCTGTTATTATACAATATATAGTGCCCCTTGTTCTTTGTCTTTGTATGTTGTGTTGTAATAAAAGAATAAAAATGCAAAATAAAGAGTAAAAAAAAAAAAAAATAGATCCTTGCCTAACATTTTAATGGCTACAACAGGGCTAAAGGCGCGATTGACTTTTGTAAACTTTTTTCTCTTTTAAACCACTAGATGGCACAAAAATGCAGATCAGCGCTTTTCTAAACAAGTGCTTTCGATGATGAACTGGAAAATCCTTGACGCGATCATGGACAGGACAGCAACGCAAGGTTGATTCTGCTCTAATTTGATCTGATATTTAATGTTTTTTTTTTTAAATGTTGTAGACTTATGTAGCAAATGAGAATAAATAAAATGTACTATATTTTGAGACAAAGGCCTAATGATTTTGTTCAAGAGACAATAATTTATGATAATAAATATCTGGCTGACTTTTTCAATTGTTGACAAGACATGGTAAGATTACGATGGTAAATATGACATTTCACATTTATGATTTATTTTCACACACACAAAAAATATGTTGCTCTATCAATGTTCAATACATATTTTTTTTTTTTCTGCAATCATGAATTATGAGAGGAGTGAAAAGCCTGAAGTGTGCCTTTAGCCCCGTTTTAGCCTATGTTGCATTAAAACATAACATTTTAGCAATAAAGTAAATGAAAGCTTTAATTACCTTTAGCATGAAGGTGTGTCATATCAATATTGTGGTGTCCAGTTGTGTGATACTCCCTCAACTGCTTTGGTTTTCTTGACTTCCTGCTCCTCACCACTGAATGATAA